TGTCCAACTTTCTAGTGTAATTTGTTTTGGAAGTAAAACACATGCCATTAATAAGTTTATAAAAAGAGCTTTCCATAGACACCTAAATTACGTCATTCGAACATCAAATAGAGAAATGGATCATGTCAAAAGTTGCCTGATTCTGTTATTATTTGATAGCAAAATTGCTATCATAAGCATGCAACATGCCGTAGCACGTGATGCAAAGAGTGATAAGCCGCAACGCAATTGCACAAGCCACGATGCATTGCTCTATTTTTTAGCGAACAAGAGTTTTTTTCAACTGTTTTTAATTTCTTTCACTCCTCTGAGGTATCTCATGCTTTCGTAACTTATTTTTACTTTGATTAAAGATTTAATTAAAAGATTTAACTCAATTTAGATTGCAAAAACTAAGGATCCCTTACTTTAAAATTATAACTTGGTAATCTCTTTAGGAGTTAATCCCTTGATTACCTTGGATTCAGGTTTTAATTATGATTAAATAAGGTGGACATTACTCATGGTGCATGGCGTGGAGGCATTAATGCCACAGCGCATTTATTATAAGTCACGGTGCACATTTGCTTTTCTACACAATTTTTCTTATTTTCATATTTTATGCAAATGTTTTAACTTTCAAGCCATCCTATACTTTCACATACATCTAATTACTCTGATTTTAATTGACAAATGTTTAGTGGATGTTTTGAATTTTGAAAAACTTGGGATCCTCATTTGTGAAATTTGATGAATTTAGTAATTACCTTAATAATTGGAGATTAAGGTGAATTGGTACCGGTAACCTTGTTTGACTTGGAGATTTTACAACTCGTGTAGAGAGGATAGAAAATTGCTAAAATAATGAGATAGATGCGAGGAAGGGATCACGGGCCAATGTTCAAACTTATTGTGTAGATTGATGCTTTTTGTGCAACTACTTTTGGCTAAAAGCCTATATGGGACTTGCATGTGTTTTTGCTAGGTAAGGAATCACACCATAATCAATATTTAGAAGATAAATCTTTAAGTCTTACTTCATCATAAGATGAAACTAACACAAAGCATCAATGACATAAAGCTCAGTTTAGCCTTTATGGAAGAACAGGAGAAACTCATTTATGCAATGAAAAGCAATTGTTGTGGAATGGCTATTTCTAGGTTTGGTGTGAGAAGCATGGTAGGACAAACAAAGGGTGTGTTGGATTTATGCAAGAGAAAGAAGCTAATCCCACTCAGCATCATATTAGCGTTTGTTAGTCAAACAAACATGCTTAATAGTCAATACTAATGATGGGTCAACATTACACCCTTTTTAAAAATTTTAGGGCGATATTGCTTCAATAAAAAGTTTAAGATATCAAGTGTTTCTCGTGAAAAAGTTTCAAGACATTTTTACTTTTACCTTTTTTTCTATTAATGATCGACTTCAAAAATATAAAGATCTTCTAATCTATGATGTAACCTAAGCCTATTTTCTCTTACACTGTTTTGTTTGTCACTATGTTATATATATATATATATACATGCTTAATTGGTTTGGTTGGAAGCTCCCTCTAATTTAGGGTTTTTTCGAGGGAAAAAAAAATTTTATGACTAAAATACTCTTTAATTTTGTTGTGTTTCAAGGTTACCACTATACAAAAACATGACACTACTTATTTTATCATTGACTACTCATTCTAGTTGTCACATATATATCTTCAATTTTAATCCTGATATATTTTTCTATTAAAAAGTATATTAAAAATAATGAGACAATAAGTTAAAATTAATCAAATGACCCTTTTTTTAAAACAAATTACAAGAATCTATCATAAATAAATTTTTAGGCTGAATATCATAAATAAATAAGGTAAAATATTTTAAGATTAAAAAATAAAAATAAATTCTAATATAATTTTTTTTTGTAAAAAATAAAATAACATGAGAACACATTTGTCAATATATAATTAACTCCCCTTCCTTTCTTTTCTGAATCAAACAAAATAAAAGGAAAGAATTTTATTAAAGTTCATTAGATGTGATATAATTTCAATTAGGTCCTAAACAATTCTAAAATTTCATTGCAGGCTCAGAGTATTGAAATGAAATAAATTCTCTTGCTTGAAGTACCACAATGTCTTTCAATTATAATTATTGATATAATAAGTCAATTTATGATTTTTATAAGTCATATTAGTAGAATAACAAGTCAAGTTATGAGCTTTATAATAACATTAATAGAATAAATGCAACTTCTTATTCTCATAGTATTAACTTTAAAAACTTTAACTTGACTTATTATTCTAATAATATTACTTGTAATTACTTGACTTATTAATGTTATTTGTAAAAATTATAGCTTACTTTGTTATTTTACTAATTTACTTATAAAAGTCATAATTTGACTCGTTATTTTAATTATATTATTTGTAAAAGATTGTAACTTAACTTGTTATTATAATAACATTACTTGTAAAAAATTGTAATTTGGTTTGTTATTTTAATAATGTTACCTATAAAGATTATAATTTGACTTATTATTTTAGTAATGTTAATTATAATTGAAGGGCATTTCAATCATTTAAGCAAAATAATTTATTTCATTTCAGTGCTTTGAGTTTGGAGTGAAATTTTAAATTTTATTAAAAATTTTAATGAAATTCTCCCAAATAAGAGTTCATTTAAACTTTAAAGCCAAACACCCTCAGTTCTCTTTCCCTCTCTTGAACCAAAAAGTGGGTAGTTGATTTCAGCTTAGGATATAAAAGTATAAATCTATCTAATTAAGCATGCATGCATCAAGCTGTCACCCGCCCTTTGTTTCTTGCACTGATATTATTCCACTTTTTTAACGGGCATGGTCCTTGGTTTATGCGCGCCCAATGCAAGTATAACTTTTTTTAAATGCCAAACTGTATCCACTAATTAGTGAACAATTAGGTCATCAACACAATAAACAATGCAACAAATTAATGCGTTGATCGTCGCAATGATGATATACTATATTTGTATTTTTTGAAAACAAGTTCCTCAAGGTCAAGGCGCAGAAGCTGGAAGTGGAGCCTATTAAATAAATGAACAACCAAAGTAAAATATTATTGTCAAGAAAATATGTTCATTTTTATGTGAAAAATCACCCTCTAATGTTTAACTAGATTTAGAATAAGATTATTTAGTATAAAATCAAATATTAGCATGCCGATAGACATGATGGTGCTTCATAGACAGGCATACTAGAGCCTGGTCATCACATTATTATCCGCGCAATTTTCCGCCAGACTTTTCCTTTTCCTCTTTTTATATTTTGTGCCAACATAATGAATAGAATAGGCAATAACAAAACCAATTCTTACATGTAAAAGACTCGTAACTCCAATTTTAAATTTAAATGCCAGCAAAATACTTCTCAAGAGCATAATTACGACACAATTGTTAGATTTGAGAAGAACTCCTTCTCTAAGCTCTTGGATACGTATAATCGCGGAACAGTATAACACTCAACCAAAACATAAAAATAACAATACAGTGCATATATACTAAACTAATCGCAACGTGTTTAATTAATAGGATCTAATATACATGCTGAAACAATTATTACTCTATACAAATACGAATTATCAGTTCACGGACTCTTCATAATTGAGAGTAAGATTTGAATTGATGCTACTATATAAAATATGTGTCAAATTCTTACCCTGGATTAATCTTGTTTGGTTTATGTATAATAGGACTCAAGTTTAGATTAATGGGCGAGTTATAGCGTTTTATGCCCGTTGAACTCGGGGGCATGCCAGTGAGAGGATGTTGCCTTCCTCAGTTGTAGCGTTATCTGGGACGGATTTAAGCGGAGTCCCCCACAAATATTTATCTCTTTGCAAAAATTTACGGCCATGTTTTATAAAGAAAAAATGATAATAAAATTTCTCTAAAATCTATAAATAATAATTTGGTCCCTTGAAATATTATAATTTCCCTGAAGTTTCTAGAAACTTTTTTATCATTAATGAATTTATATAAATTATTAAATTACCCTTGTTAAAAATAAATAATTCACAAGTTTTATTTAAATATTCACATCTTTCTTTCTTATATTTGTAATAATGTAACAGCAAAGGAAAAATTTAATATACGAAGTTGTGATTTACTGTTTTATTATTGTAAATATAAGAGGAAAAGTTATAAATATTTAAATAAAATTTGTGAATTATTTATTTTCAACAAGGATAATTTGATAATTTATATAAATTCATTAATGACATAAAAGTCTCTAAGAATTTCAGGAGAATTACATCATTTTGAGAGATTAAATTATCATTTATAGATTTTAGAGGGATTTTATTATTATTTTTTATTTTATAAATTGGTTAAAAAAAATTTGTAGCTAAATCTTGCCTCCCTTAGATGAAAGAAGAAGAAAATTTGCCCCAGAAAATAAGCTAGATCCGTCACTGAACGTTGTACATGTAAACATGATGGCGTATTATATATACATGCATGCGTAGTTATATAAAAGAATGACATAATACTAATAGTGTGGATTACTGTCACAGAAGCTTTGTTTATCCACAAATCTGACGGTGGAAGTAAAGGCTACTTTAGCTTTATTCTTTTGCGAAAAACTGCTTTAAACTGCTTTAGACTGTTCAACATATGCCATGGGCCTCATGATTGCCGTATTCAGCCCATTGTGGAGCCCACTTGACGACGCAACCCTCCCCCTCCTCCGATCCACTCATGCTCTTCCACTTGTTACTCCAAACAACACAAGCAACTCACAAGACAACGGTTTCCAAGTCGTCCTTGAGATCAACGGCTAGATTGCATGGCTTATGTCGTTTTCAGGTATGGGACCTAGGTGGGTTTCGTTTATTCAGTGATAATGTTCTAGATTGACACAAGGGTGGAGGAGGATTAGAGTCGATAACTCTGAGGTCAAATATAAGGTCACCATCAACGGCTTACAGAGAAAAATCATAGCACAAGATATTAAGAATAAAAGCCCCTCCAAGGGGAAAACAAAAAACAAAAAATAAAGAGACTCGAACAACGTGAATGAGGCTGCCACTTGATTTTATTTAGTAGTTGTGTCTCCTTCATGGAGTCTCTTCTCTGTGTTTGTGTATTATTCTGGAGCAATTTATTACAGTTAGCAAGTCGAAGTAAGGCAAAGGTATTTAATTTATTATAGGATTGGGTAATCTACTTGTGAGCTATATATATATATGGTCAGAGTCAGGATCACTCAGGACAAAACACGAAGAGGAGGAAGGAGGAGGGAAAGTGAGAGAAATGAAGCAGAAGAAGGGTACAGAGATTAGGTCGCGCTCGGAGCTAAGCTCTGCCATTGAAGAGCTTTCAGTGCTGGTTCTTGTTAAGCCTGGAGATAATCATGAAGCTGCTCTAGTCCCCACGAAACCTTTCCTATCTCTGTGTTACTTGGTTTTACAAGTTCTGGGTCCGTTTACTTGCTTAATCTATGTCTTCTTAAACCCCTAATGTTGGCCTGACAAGTTTTCATTATCTATGATCGATGCTTCTGCAGATAAGATAGGACCGACGATGGCTGTTTTGAGACAAGATATTCATCAGAATATTAAGGTGAGGCACAGCTAAATTCTCAGGTCTCAATTATTTTCCCTTCACTTCAGGCTAATCCACGGAGCAACCATTGAAACTCTTTCGTTGCAGAGATTGGAAATGGTTCTCGAATCAAATTCCTCACTGAATTCAAATTTGGTCGAGATTTTGAGAACAGAGACTAGGGAAGGGAACGCAAAGAAGGGGGCCAGCTGTAGCAAGGCCTTTGTTTGGCTCACAAGGTGATATGTCAATACTCAATACAGTATCTTATTCCTTATAAGAATTGGGTGCCGTTCACTTAGAAAAAAAAGACAAGAAGTGTTTGCTCTGCAGATCCCTGGATTTCGCCTTAGCATTATTACAGACACTGTCAATTGGTTCTGGGAAAAATATGGAGGAAGCAGTGGAAGAGGCTTATAACATTACTCTGAAACCACGGCATGGGTGGATTTCATCAGCTGCCTTCAAAGTATTACATTTCTTGATCTCGAGTGAATGTCTCTACATTAGATTTCGCAACTAAATATAACGCTGACACACATTGTGCCTGTCTTGCTTCTGAATCTTCATCATCTGCTAAGGTAACAGATATACTTTTGATGCAGGTAGCTTTGAAACTAGTGCCTGATAGTAAAACCTTCATAGATCTCCTCAGGGAAAACGATGAAAGCTATGACGCTCAAACGGAGAAAATTAAGATTTTGGTTTCTTTGCTCGCACCATTTCTTGAGGATATCCATTGTATTCTGGTAAGCCAAACAACAAAATATTACTTGTCGGTGCAGTTAATTGTCTGTGATTCTAATTGCCCAATACATGTTCATTCTGCAGAAAGCCTACGACTTGGAAAACCTGAAGTCCGCATGAAGTTAATAACTACTGCCCAGTTTCATGTTGCACATATATCCGTTTCTCACATACTTTTAATGTGAATATGTAAATATCTTGTATAGTAATTTTGCTAACAGAATCTTACGTTTGGCATCATGTTCGCCAAATGTATTCTTAAGAACCGGAGAGATCCACAAAGAATAGAGGAATTTACACAAACATATTGCACCAGATGTATAATTTTCAGCCTTTTAAAGTAAAGGAAAAAGGACAGCCTCATATCCTGCTCCATCCTCTTATGCTCCAATTATTAATATTCGAATGAAACTATCTGCTCTCTAATGATAGTACTCACTTTATAAATCTTTCTTTTTCCTGAACTTTCATGGTCTTACGATAGCATTGGAGAACAAGACGTTAAAGGCCGTGTGGGAATCAAAAGGAATGATCAGCCGCATTTCAATTATATGCCCATCAATTCCATCCCAAAATTGAGTCCTCCACGGCCTTTGAATTTGAGAGAGGAGGATCTTGAAGAGCAATAAGTGCTGCAAGTAAACCGGCATTGCTTGCTATGGTTGGTTCAGTGAACCTTGGTTGGTTCCTATCATCCATGAAATTATCATGCAGGCCCGGTCCTCCTACCATGGCTCCCAAAGGAACTTGTGGGTTTGGATCTTTTGAGTTCAGCCATTTTTTTCCCTTCGTCACAAGTATATGGCTGACCATCCCATGGGATCGATGCACTTCTATGATGAACCTGCAATGGAAACTTGTCTCCATAACCAACCATATAGCTCATCTTAATCGGGTTCTGTCCCATGATGTAGTTAACCTGAACACAGAACAGAGAATAGAATGAAACCAAGTTAGCCTCTATTTACATTAGTTGATAAGGCAATTAAGGACTAAAGAGTTGGCATCTACCTGAGAGGCAGCAAAATCATGAAGCATCTGCAAAGAGTATACATCAGTGCCGCAACTTGCACCAGAAAGTTTCTGATGATCAAGGTAATCGCCAAACAATTTACTGAGAAAAGATGATGTTGCAGCATATTGCAGTAATGGGTCATCAACAGGTTTTATGATGATCAACCCACCTACAATTGTAACATATAGCATGTTCATATGCTTAAAGACTAACCATATTTAAGCATCAATTAATTAAATTTAATTCCACGCAAAACAACAAAGTCATGACTGATCAGAGTTTACCCGGTGTTTTGCTGGAATATTTGTTAAATAGAAAAGTAACACATGAGGGACTCTGTCAAGTTTGATGACAAAATCAAAGCATCCTGAGACGAGCCAGGGTCTTGAAAGTAAAGTATGCGCGATAGTAAAACCTACAAAATTCAATGTTCCATTGAATAAAAAGAAGAAAGCTTACACTAATATTCAATACACAGGTTTGATGGAAGTTACCCCTGTAGCACCGAGCTTGTTATTCCAATAGAAGACGCTTTTGTCCAAACCTGTTTCATTGTTCTTGGCTAATTTGAAAGTGTCAGTAGCAAATTGAAGATAAGATGTGTTTTTAGTGGCAATATACAACCAAGTTCCTCCCCATGCTAATTCATCTTCGTAACCAGATGAGTTGTAAAACATTCTTGCTTCTTTTCCACAATCATCGTCCGTCGTGTACTTGCCTTGCAACGAAGGATCTTCTGTAGTAACTACATCATACAGGCTTTGTGCTGCTTTGACTAGTTTTCCTGAATAGTCCTTGTCTTCTCGAAACACTAAGGATGCAGCGGATAATGCTGCAATAAATTCACGAGCTAAGTCCGAAGCAGAGCTATTGCACTGTGAAACTGGTCTCGCATAAGTCATGTCTTCAGGTCTTTGCCAGCAGGTTATATCATTATGTTCACCATTATTATTCCTAACAGCACTTCCAACCTGCTGAAATTTAATTTTAAGAAATGCACACATATACAATTTACCCTGATAAATAGTAATCATGGTACAAAAAATTCCAAAAATCTTGCCTGAGAATACAGTATCAAGGGGGTTTGAGCAGTTACATTTGGGAGAACAAACGCCTTGAGCAAGTAGTCACTACCCCATCTGATTATGTCTCTAACATGGTCAAGCTCACCAATATAAGCATATTTACCCTGATATTCTATCACAGTCCAACTCAGCAAGGTCACTGTATAGGCTGTGGTGAAGGTGAACTTAATGTTATTGCCAGAATCATAAAATCCACCGGTAAGATTTTCTGGTGTGTTCAACCCATCTTCTAATCCTGAGTCTCCTCGAAATTTCACTGGACTATTCCTTGGATAGTGTCCAGCTGCACATACGAAGTTCCTCTTTAAATAACATCTAGAAGAAAAATAAAATTAACACACAATGTGGTTTATGCGAAACACATAGAGACACAAATTAATACACTTTTGGGCATCATAAAATGTTAGAGCTTGATTGATTGCAAGTTTGAGATTGACTGGAGGCCTCTGGTGCCTATGCTTGTGAGCCTGAGATCGGAAGTGCACCAGAAGAACTGCTGCTACGACAAGGAAGACGATTGATGCTGCTATAAAAAGAAATCGATAAAAGTGTTTCTTGTCAGTGATAACAAGATTATAATCAACGGATTTAGAGTAATTGGAGGGGATTGAATGATAAGCGGTGGAAGAGTTAGGGGCAAGGTTATTGTCAAGGGCTATGGAGTTCCAGCGACTAGCGGAAGGAAGAAGACGACCCCCCTCTGAAACTGTGTGGACATATCTCACAGAGTGCTTCTTTGTTTCTAAAGCAGAAAACTCTGCCGGAGGCATGATCGTTGACGATATTACCGCTTAGGTGAAATTAGAAATGAAAAGGGGAACATCCACTACCTCAAAAGAAGTGACTTCAAGCCTAATCGGTTCATTTGGCCTATAGGGCAAACCTACTCATGCCCAGCTGTTAGTAGAACAAGGCTGTGGAATATATTTAAAACAAACGAACAGACAAACCTGCATTATCGTCATCAGAGACTGTCTGCACACTAGGAAGTAGGAACCATTTCCATAAGATTACTGCTATGGAATGTGAATTCTTTTGGATCAAAATGGACTTTAAAAATGACGTAAAATATATATTTTCTAGTCATCATCTTTAGGTTGTGAGCTGTCCAATGATTATTTGATTTGATGGTAGGGGAGGAGTGAAGGGTGAATGAGATTGAAGGGGATAATTTTGCAGGAGAAAGGAAAATTCTGAAGCAGAATAACAAGTGACGGATGTATCAATGCATGGGCTTTGCCTGCAGTTTGCCGTCCAACTGACAACATTCTGTTAGGCCGAACACATTGGAAAGGAAAAAAAAAAAAAAAGACAGCCAAAAAAAAAAATTTATTAAAATTGAACATGCTAATTAAAGTTAGTGTGGGTGATAAGTTAGTTAGGAGTTTAAAACTTTATTTTAATTTAGTTGGAAGAGATATACCTTTATCGTTAAGAGAATTGCTTCTTGTACTATTGATCACAATGCTTGGTTGATTGCTTTTGGGTTCTTCTTTTTCTTCTTTTTTAAATTCAAAGTTAAGGATAAACTATGTTTAAAATAAATAAATTAAATCGTATAAAAAACCATATGGTTTATGCATTCCAATGGAAAATCATTGTAGCTCACAATATTGAAATTGTCTTTAGGTGCCTAGTGGATAAAAAGATCAATTTTTCAAAAAACATGATCAAGTTTGATCATCTAGACTTTTATAACAAAGTTTTTAATTTTATTAATGATCTCAGAGAGGGGGTGAACCTAGCAAGAATTGTGTTGAATGAGTGATAATGTTTTTAAAAAATAAAAGTAAATGTAAATTTTGAATAAATTTATCATTTTAAAAAAGTTTGATTCCTTTCAAGATATTTAGAAGTTCAACAGTTATAATTAAATGATACTTGAGATATTTGTAGAATTTTCAATGCAATTTTCTTGGTCGTTGCATATGAAACTTCCACAGACAGCAGCTCTGTTAAATATTAGTTCAACGAATTTCATGGCAATAAACTGCACGGACCAAATATCTTAATTATAATTATGGTTATTTATTAAGTTTTAAAACCTTCCCTTTCTCCAATATCGTTCTGGTGGAATTTTCCTATATTGTATTCACATCCCAAAATTTGTCGAAGCGCCCGGCCCAACCCCCCCCCCCCCAAAAAAAAAAAAGAAAAGATATAAACCATGAAACAAAGCTCCGGCCTCCGCCCTTGGGGCATGAAGCCTGCTCATTCGCATTCCTTCCCGCCCATTTTTCTTCCCTCCTCTTTCGCGTGATTCCACTTTCTGCCCCCTTCTTTGGCACCCAGCTACCTACCACCGCTGTCGGCTACCGTCGTAACCTGTCGTAGACCTCCATTGTTTAAAGATTTTTTTTTTTTTAACTCTCTTTTGGCCATAATTTGTTAACCCAATATAGCTTAGTGAATATATTTCACTTGAGGTAGGGATCAAAAAGACGAAAAGCCTGTCTTGAAATTTATCTGGGTTTAGAGGTATGGACGTCGACAGTGAGGAGGAAGATGGAGAATTCGGATTCTCAAGAAACTATTTTCTGGCCAAGGAATTGGGCTCCTCGAGCAAGAAATCAACTCACAAGATTTCCGACATAGACGTTGTTGATGAACAGGTATATATCTTAATCACTAGGATTCATCCCTGTTCATTCTATACACTTTGTTTCTGCTATATCAGAATGTTTCCTATGTATAGGAATTGAGGGCCGCAGCAGCCAATATTGAGCCCAAGCATAAGAAGGAGATTGCCACATTAATTGATAGCTATAAAAATATGCATTCTGAATGGGTTTTTGCCTTAAGGTACGGTTCTCGCGCTTATTGCTAATTTGACACTAAAGTTCATGCATCTCTTGTCTTTCTAGCTATACCACAATGGGTTTAGCTGCAATTTTGTTGAAATGCTTTGGATGAACTCAGAATTAAATAACTGTTATAAGCACTTCGCTTGAAATGCTATGATAATCTAGAAAACCTCATTTTCTATTTGGACAGAGATCTATTTCGTATCTCAATATCACGAGTTCACAGGATCCCTTGACCAAAATAATATTCAAACGAAGGCACAAAGCCTTATGCTCCCTAAAGTAGAGATTCATAACGCTAATGTCTTCTGTCAATGCCCATTCTTTCTGCTAAGCCGCAGAGCTTTTGCTTTGTTTGGACTTCAGATTAGATAAATTGTACCACATTGTAGATTAGACACTCACTTTTTTTTTTTTTTTGCCCCCATTCATGAGCTAGGTGTGATTTTTCTCTACTAATGTATGGCTTTGGGTCTAAGAAGGCTATGCTTGAAGATTTTGCTTCGACAGCATTGGCTGAACATTCTGTAGTTGTCATCAATGGTTATCTTCCAGCCATTAACTTAAAGCAGGTACCTTTTTAGCATTGACATTTCTGAAGATGCGTGTTTTAACAGAACAAGAAAAGAAATGTAAAAAGGAGAAAAATAATGTTTATCTGTAAGAGGATATGAGCTCACTTTAAGAACTCATCCTCCTTATGATGCATGACAAAAGTTAGTTTCTGAATATAGGTTGTGATAGCATTAGCTGAAGTATTGTCAGATCAAGTAAAAACTAAACAGAAAGTTTTCAGAAGTGAACAGCCATTCAGTTCTCAATCCATCGAGGACCTTCTTGCATTTTTGGATGGGGCAGAAACAGAGGAAGAAGATTGTTTTGTTTGTGTTGTCATTCACAATATTGATGGGCCCGGATTAAGAGACTCTGAAACCCAACAATATGTTGCTCGACTAGCTGCTTGTTCCCATATTCGTATAGTTGCCTCTATTGACCATTTAAATGCTCCTCTTCGTAAGTATATTTAATATCCCACTCGTTATCTTATAAAGAAAAATTCACCTCTGTGCTAACTTTAGAAGTACCTTAATCTTTTTCTTTGACTGTTATTTTTTCAACTTTTGGAACTTTGTATCATTCTACTTATCTTTATTTCAATTACTTTTTTCAGCGTGTAAATATAACTTTTTTTAACATGTTCGTAGTTATTTATTTAGGGAGAATGACAATTAAGGATTCTCGAGGAGGACTTACAAATTGTAAACAGCAAAGTTTGAGTTGTAAACTTTAAAATCTCTGTTGTGAAAAGTCCTTGATATTTTTCAAGGATCCTTATTTGTCTTCTCCCTATTTATTTCTTATCAGTTGACAGTACAAATAAGTTTGAATGCTGTTGTAGAACCGATTGTGCCTTTTTTTTTTTTTTCCTTGATGTATGTTGTCTTATTGTTTGAAGCCCTTTGTTCATATCACTGGCAGTCTGGTTCAAAGTGGACTATAGGATTATATGCTACTGTGAAAGAATCTTTTGTAGCATTTATATCTACTTCCTAAGAATTTCCATCTTGGTTCTGTTTATAGTTTGGGACAAGAATATGGTTCACAGACAATTTAATTGGTGCTGGTATCACGTCCCTACTTTTGTCCCATACAAGGTTGAAGGCATGCATTATCCATTGATTCTCGCTCAGAGTGGCGCCAATCAAAGTGTCAAAACAGCTGCAATAGTATTACAAAGTTTGACACCCAATGCCCAGAGTGTATTTAAAGTTCTTGCGGAACATCAACTCTCTCATCCTGATGAGGAAGGCGAGTTCCTTAAATATTTCTTTGATATGCTGTTTTTCATCTAATAGCATGTGCATGCATATTTTGCTAAATTTTTGCCTTTATCATCCAGGCATGCCAATCAATGATCTCTACTCAGTCTGTCGAGAACGATTCCTTGTAAGCAGTCAGGTTACACTGAATTCCCACTTGACGGAGTTTAAAGACCATGAATTGGTTAAGATTAGGAGGCATTCCGATGGTCAAGATTGCTTGTACATTCCTCTAGCTGCTGAAGCACTCCAGAAGGTGTTGCTGGAGATCAATCAGTAGTGTAGACATTGACTAGAATGATAAAAAATGGTATTAGATCAACGTGTTCTCACAACTAAGTATAGATCAAGAACTCGTCCAGGACAAACAATACTGTTTTCTGATTCGCCAGCAAATCTCTCGTAAAAGAAGTTGCTTGTTCAGTTTTAATTTACATTTTCCTACTGTTACCATCGGATCTAATCTCTCGCAATTTTGATCGATGAAGACAAAAATGGTACACCTTACTTGATGCTTTACTTGAGCCATTAAACCATTAAACCTTGCATGACACAGGACCTCAATGTGTGGCTTTATCTGTTTTTTTAAATTAAATTTATGGTGATTATGCGGTTAAAAAACAAATGAGGCTAATCCTTAACTACTACTCAAATTTAATATAATTATCAAATATCAATTATTGGTATTGATATTATTGTGCAATATTCCATGAATGTATGCTTTTTTGTCCATGAAAATTAGATTTATTCTATATTGGGTTAAAATGTAATTTGAATTTTAAACCTATAATTCAAAAGCGATTTGAATTTTAAACTTTTAAAAAGTATATTTTAAATATTAAATAATTAAAGTTAGAGTATTTTTGTTCTTGTTGTTAAATTTAAATAAACATATGTTAAAATGAGACTTAATGAGTGATTTTCACCAAATGAGGGTATAAAAGAGAGAGAAAGTAGAATTTGCTGAAAATTACACATTAAGTCTCTTTTTTTTCAAAAAAAAAAAACTAATGGTTTGTTGAAATTTAATGATGAGAGTGAAATTATCCTAATTTTAATATTTAGAATTTAAAATGTACTTCTTACGATTCTATTTATAAGTTATTTTTACCAATCTCATTAATATTAACACAACAAAAGTATAAGTAATAAAAGTAAGTGAAATTTTAAATATAATCCTCAAATAAAAAGCAAAAATTAGCAAATAATATAATATTGTTTTTTGTCTTTCTCTCTCTTACTTTTTAAGGGCAGTTTGGCAATTTTAATTTGAAATAAAACAATCCCATTAACTAATAACTTATAAAGTGAACTAGATTATGCTTATAAAAGATGACTAATATACAACACCGGCAGAGTATCTTTTAAAAGTGTAGGGTTTAAATTGCATATTAATTCTTTTATATTTGGTATGTGAAAAAGTATGTTTTAAAAAACATAAAAAAATATATTCAAAAAAAAATAAGATAGATATAGTTTTTTTTAAAAAAATATTTATTATTTACCAAAGGTAGGATCAAAGCTCATGAAGAAAGGAGAACATAAATAGAAAGAAAATTAAGATTTATATACATGATCAATTCTTAGATGGACGGTCTTTTCGAGGGGCAAAAAAAAAAACAGGGAGATAGACATAGTCTTTGGGTTGCTCTTTAATGCACCTCGATTTGCACACGCTCAAGCATGATGCACATCAGCGAAGTAGCTGGAGAAGTAATTAAGGAGAAGTTCATTTAAGGACTTGAAAAGAAATATATTTTTTGGCAGTTATTTAAAAATTTTAAAATTTTAGTTCAGCTTTTAAATATTAAATTAAAAATAAGTTGAGTCTAAAAAAGATAAAAATACACTCAATTTAAATATTTTTTTAAAAAAACCATTAGCCACTGCCACTGAAACACTACCATCAATGATTAAAGCCTCGTAGTGACGGTAGTCACTGAATCTTCGTCGTTAGAGCTCCGACTGTTGACTAGACCATCTCCAACAGTAGCTGAAAATTATGGAGAATTTAATTCTCCAAAAGTGGTCAAGGTGAGCCAAAGGCTTGGTGGTCCAAAATCTTTTGGTGAGCCAAAGGCTAATGAGTTTTAGCTACCATTGGGGGTGGTTTAATCAACAGTTGGAGAATTAAATTCATTCAATCATATAATGTATAAAATTATATATATAATAAACATTTTTTCAAACCACTTGATTATTACGTTATTTGTTAATCGTATAAATTTACTTATTAATACCTTAATATGACCTGTTAATTATTTAACTTTTTTTATTAACCCCATGACTCTTGCAATAGAACTAAATTACTTGTTAATTTTAAAACTATACTTGTTAATGTAATACCCTCAAATTTACAGATCGATTTTTCGCAAATTATTAATTCAACAAATCCTTTTTTTTACTTTCTTTTTTTTCATTGAACCCTTATCATGGTAGAAAAATTTCTACCATGATACATCCAAGACAATATACCACAGGTCTTAAAATATCTCAAAAAGCAATTAGAACCATGAGGGACATACATGATCCTCATAGCATGTTATTTAAATCAGGTCATGGATCAAAAGGGACAGACATAATCCTCTTGGACATATAGATGCATTTAATAAAAAGGACTAGAGTTTACATGCTCTATAAAGAAGATATGTCCTAAGTTGATACAAGATACATTGTATAATCTAAAATAAGAGGCAACGTAAAAGATGGTGTCTCATACACCATAGTTACACCTCTGGTGCTTTCTCGGTCAGACTCACTCCTATAAAAATATTAACCATGAGGAATGAGACTTAAAAGTCCCAGTAATGATGCATGCGGATGTAACTAATCATGCGATTGCTAAGTGGGCACACAAAACATTTAACCGAACAATACTTTCAAACAAATCGAACAAGTATTTAATTTGCATGACTGCACCTTATATCCTCCTTTCGCCATGCTCTGACGCCAAATCACCCGGCCAAAGGTGAGTTGGACCAAGCGACACGCCACTCATTGGGTCCAATGAGGGCTTACCACATGGTAATAATTAACCGAACAGAAATTCCTATTAACACTATACATTAAATACCCTGACAAGTCATACATCATTCAAATATCCAAACAGGAATATATCCGAACAATAATATCTCATCATGATAAACAAAAATAAATTTTTTAACCCACTTGGCAATAATTTCAAACAAGTATATACAGTATTTATTTTTAATAATTCATAATTTTTTTCAAACAACAAAAAAACACATAACCATTCACAAAAATACCCATCACAACACATTAATAATAGTTACCTTGTGTCTTGAATAACAAGTTCCCCTTCACAACTCCTTTTTCACCACTATCTTTGTCAATATAATCTACATAATTATTTCACAATACTATATATTAATTTTACATTAAAATAAATAACTCTAATTTAAAGAGTTAGAAAGTCTTAGATCTATAATTCATATTAACACTAATTTAAGATTTATGCCTCATTTAACTTTTCAAATTCTTTTCTAAAATTCTCGTACCCTAATAAACTATTTTTTTATCATCAAATCACTTCTAGTATCACAATTTCATCCTTCCATATTCTAAAAAAATTCGTCCAAAAATAAATTAAAAATTTTAAAATTATCCTGAAGCCTCAAATCACCTTTCTATAACCTCAAAAATACCTATTCATACTTAAATAAATTTTTAATAATTATAGGTTTATCCCTACATCTCAGATTCCACATAAATTCAACCATATAGATCTAGATTTTAACTCAAAAATTCTTAAACATGAGTTTCAACCTCAAAAAAATATTCTATAATATTTATTATATCCTTAAGAGTTTTAACCTATATTTTTAATCCATCATATCATCAGATTAACTATCCTATAAAAAAATCCTGATCAGAATATTTACTCTATCCTACAAAATAATCATATCACTAGAAAGCTAATATTATTTAGAAAATAACTATAAAATTAATTTTATAATTAAATAAATTTTTAAATGCTAATCTAAACAGGAAAGTTAGAACATACCTGAAGAAAAAGAAAATAATCCCCCTTGTGAGAAAATGCCGAGCAACGTGAGAGGAAGAGAGAAAAATAATATAAAAATGAGATTGTGGGTCCCAAAATTATATTAAAAAAAATTATAGGTCTAAATTTAATTATTCAAACCTTTGGGCTATAAGTTGCAATTTTTCTAAATTGCATCTTAGCCTCTCATGCTTCCTAATGCACACACCCCCTCCTTTTATACATGAAAGCACCTCTTCTCTTTGTTCATCTAACCAATGTGGGACTTAGAAACAACAACCTTCCACCCTTTTTTTTTTATTCCTTCTACCTTCTCTTTTTTTTAACACACACATAAAAAAATTATTTATGTATTATATCTTAACTAAATATTACTTATGTAGTTTTAAATTTAAATTTTTAAATTCATAATTAAATACCTAATCATAATATTATTTCTAAATAACCTCAAATAATATAAATTCCTATTATTATCATTTTTTTCCTCAAAACCTAAATTTCACAATTTCTTTATTATATAAAAATCAAGATGTTACAGTTAACACTTTAACAGGACTTATTAATTACTTAACTTTCCTTGTTAAGTTCATGACTCCCACAACAGAATTACATTACTTGTTAGTTACGTAATTGTGCTTGTTAATATCTCAATAAGACTTATTAATTGCTTGAATTTACTTGTCAAATTCATGATCCCTTCAATTGAACTGTACTACTTATTAATCATGTAACTTTACATGTTAATCGCGTAATAACACTTGTTAATTGCGTAGCTTGACTTATCAATACCATAACAAGACTTGTTTAATTGTTGTTTCAAAAAAGCAATTAAATTACTTGTTACTTGCATGACCTTACTTATTATTTCCTTAACAATATTTGTCAATTATTTATTGTCACTTGTTAAATAAACATATAATTTACATAAAAAATTGAGTTTGTCAAATAACAAAAATAAAGATAGTTGAGTCTCCTTTGTCAGTATTCATCAAACTAAATATTCAATTATATAAGCACATATATATATAGAGAAAGAGAGAGAGAGCAATACCCTAAAAAATAAATATAATATTAACAATTAAAATTAAAGAAATGACAAGCTATATTAAGCTTTTAACAAGTATACTTCTTGTCATAATACTCAAGAGATTTAAAAATAAGATTTATTATATAAATAATTTTGAGGAAGTCATGGAATTAACAAGTAAATTTACATAATTAATAAGTTAAGTTGCGCAATTAATAAGTTAAGTTATATGATTAACAAGTAATGCAACTTAATTGAAAGAGTCATAGATTTGACAACTAAATTCAAGTAATTAACAAATCTTATTAAGATCTTAACAAGTACAATTATGCGATTAACAAGTAATATAGTTCTGTTGTAGGAATTACAGACTTAACAAGAAAAGTTAAGTAATTGATAAGTCTTGTTAAGATATTAATAAGTAAAGTTACGTGATTAACAAATAATATGATAATTAAATAGTTTAAAAATAATGTTTATTATATATATAATTTTATACATTATATGATTGAATGGGTTGATGGTCCAAAATCTTTTAGTAAGTTAAGGGGTCATGGGTTTTGCACTTACTTTAGCCACCTTTAAAGAATTTAATTCTCTAGCCACCGCCAACTACTGAAACTCTAGCGACGGAGGTCCAATAGCTACCATAGCTGATGAGGCTCTAGTCATTAATGGTGGTGCTCCAACGATGGTAGCTGGTGGGTTTTTTTAAATATTTAAATTAAGGATATTTTTATCTTTTTTCATATTCAACTTATTTTCAGTTTTAGAATCTTTAAAGACCCATCAGAAAATATATTTCTTCCTAAATCCTTGAATAAAATTCTTCCAACTAATTACTTTGGTTTGAGCAAATCCCAAGTTTCGTGTTGCACTGTACTTTTTTTATTTAAATAATTATAACTTTTTAATTGTAAATAAGATACATAATTCTTAATTTGCAATTAAATTTTTTTTATAATTATTTGAATAGATATCTACAAATTTATTTTTTTAAAAAATTTTGTCGAGATTTAACTATTATTAATTTAATATTTTAAAGCCTTACTGTTTATTTTCCTTTTAAAATTTGAGCAGATCAAGGTAATTAATAAAATTTTTGGCATAAAAAAGTTAATTAATATATCTCAACTTTTTTGTATTTACATTAATTTTCTTCACTTCACATTTTCATATTTAGGTGAACTATGCTAAGGGGGATTTGGATTCAGTGACTATATTTAGTATAGGCATTGAATGTTTGTAGCATCTGAATCATTAAAATTCAGATCAACCATTCTTATAAAATCACTCATTTATTAATCTTAAGTAGAGTATGAATTTAAAATTATTGATTTGAATTTTAATAGTTTATATACTATATACATTTAATGCCTGTATTAACTATAATTATTGAATTCAAATATGTGATAAGGAAACTCTGATTTTTCATTTTTAATTAGAAATTAGGTTATTTTATCTTTTTAAAACCTCACATCTTTGACATGTCACATGACACCACTCCTTATTGTATTTGCGGAACAATTTAATAATAGGTGATTCAAATATTCATGATCTGTGTTTTTTTTTTTTTTTGGCCAGCGATTCAAATTTCGTACTCATGAATCATAGGTCAAGTAGGAGTATGGTGTACACAGAGAACGTGCATTGAGGCAATTGCCCGTACACTGGAAAGTGGGATGCTAACGGTCATTTGAAATCCCACTGAGGTGCTCTCGCAGCACTCAAAAGCTCGGGTGAAGGACGCAAGAAAGCACAGTGTGATAGAAGATTGCGTAAAAAATGGTGGTGCCTAAACTATCCTACGAGGAGAGTCGCCGCAAAAGATTGGAGGAGAACCAGAAGCGAATCGAAGCCCTTAATCTGCCCCAGCTTTCTCAAGCCCTACGAAATTCCCCTTCTCCCAAATCCTCTCCTGTACTCTTCACTCTCTACCCTCTCTGCATTGTTCTCTATCATAATCAATATATCTCACTTCCTTGCTCCTTTTGCTACAGATGAAGCATACCAAATCTCGCTCAACCCAGAAACAGATAGTTGTTGTAAGGAGGTCTGGCCGTGTCGCAAATATGCCTGCTCCTGTTTACAAAGAAGTGAGCTTCTTTCGTGAATCCATTTCTCATTTGTGGTTTCTAGTTTACCCTGTAATCGATCTCATCGTGGTCTTTTTTGTTCTACAGGTGGTTATTGATCGCGTGGCAATACCTAGAAGGTACTCGTGGTCTCAAGTTCTGCGAGTTAGAGATATATTGACCCTGTGAATTTTTTTTTTTTTGGTTGGGATAGAAAATAGTCGATAATATTTTACGTGTGTAGAGTTTACGGGACCAAAAGAAATTTGTCAAATTGCGTACTTGCTTCAGAGGAAGCCAGGGAGGAAGCTTTTGGAAGAGCAGAGAAACTACTCCCGGATTTAGAATCTGAATATCCAACATTCATAAAGTCGATGCTTCCGTCGCATGTAAGCGGTGGATTTTGGCTGGTAAGTGGTAGTGTTCCTATATTTTATGTAAGTTTACGTTAATCCATGTTTCCTTTCTTAACTTTCTATTCCTTGTTAAATAGGTAGCGCTTAAATCATAACAAGGTTGTTGAAAATCGAAATGTATTTGTTGGTTGACTCTGTTTAATTATTCACTCAAACTTTGTTTTCTACATGACAACTCATGTCTTGTCATGGAAACACCCAATATCCTCTATGCTCGGCATCGGCAGTAACCGTGTGTGACCTCTGTACTGTACAAGAAAATCAAATACTTTGAATACTTAGAAAAACTGTGTGCTTTGTTTATCAGACATGTCCTGCAATCTATAACGAGCTAATCAAATTGGTAACATTGGGCAATAGGGTCTTTCAGTCCAGTTCTGTAAGACTTACCTTCCAAAGCGGGACGAAATGATTACGTTGATAGATGGAGATGGAGATGAGTACTCAACAGTATATTTGGCTCGGAAAACTGGGCTCAGCGGTGGATGGAAAGGTTTTGCGGTGGCTCATAACCTAGCTGATGGTGACGCATTAGTTTTTCAGTTAATCAGACCTACAGCATTCAAGGTGATGGAAGATTGACTTTGGATTCATTTAGGACTTCGAGATATTGTATCAGTTATTCTAAAGGCTAGTTCATGCGGACAAAAAAAGTACCAGCATTTTTCAAGCCACATATTTTGGTGGTTACTATTTACTCACGGTTATGGTTTCTTACAGGCTTACTGACTCATTTTTGCTGCTGTTTCCTCCCTTTCGAACTGTCCTAGTGCTGATATTTGTACATTTGTAGTTACTCGCTGTCGCTTGTTCAGTTTCAGAATTAACATGCTATTTATATGAGTATAGACTGTGACATAGCGTAGTTGCTTATGTTATCTTTCAGGTGCACATTATTAGAGTGAAGAGTCCTAGGCTTACTGACTCATTTTTGCTGCTGTTTCCTCCCTTTCGAACTGTCCTAGTGCTGATATTTGTACATTTGTAGTTACTCGCTGTCGCTTGTTCAGTTTCAGAATTAACATGCTATTTATGAGTATAGACTGTGACGTAGCGTAGTTGCTTATGTTATCTTTCAGGTGCACATTATTAGAGTGAAGAGTCCTACTCCTACAGAGGGCAATTAGCTGTAAACGAATTGCATTTGGAGCTTTTCAAATCAATCTAGGTATTTCTTTTTCTTGCTGAACATATTGAACCTCAAAATTGCATATCTTTGGTTTGATATGATGTTGCTGATGTCTATGTTATTTTTTCTCTTTTTCTTAGGCAGCTCAGAAATTTGGTCTGGCTGGAATGAAAATATAAATGACGAGTATCATACCAAATAAAGTCATAGAAATCATTATTACATAACATATTCCTTGAACCAACCAAAGTCATGTACATACAGTATTCTGCTTAGTCAGTTCAGGGGCTTGATGTCAAGGAATGCAGATAATGGCAACTAGAATTTAACAAATGATAATATTTCAGTCAGGTTCTTTACTTTATTTTATTGGGAGAATTACATTCAAAGACCTGAGAAGACAATTATTTAAAAATAAGAATCAATACAGAATAGATTGATGGCAAAATGAGAGATGGATTTATTTTTCCTTGAATGGGATTTATTATTGATTCTTATTTATGAATAATTATCTTTTTAAGTTCTTGAACGTGATTCTCTCTATTTTATTTTATTTATTATTTTTTTGGCCAATGCTGTCTAAAACTTTTAAAAGCTGATACTGAAAATACTGCAGCAGCGATTAATGATACGGGTCTGAAAGGCATAGTCCGTCCACCTTGTATCATTATCTTTATGTTTGCCTCTTCAGCTCTCGAAGTCAGTACTAGTTTTTAATCCTGATTTTTGCTGCTAAATTGCCTGACTAACCTACAATTCAAATTTTTTTTTGTCTCCCAGTCATAAAGGTATATCTATTCTTCCGCAGGTACGGACGAGCTTTTGTGGTTATTTTTTGTTTTGGGCTCATGATCCTTATTAACTTATCTTTGTACGAGATCGAAATATGGGTACACAATACAGTAGTTTTGGCCGATCCGACGATGTCTGAAGACTGAACTTGTTTTGTATATCTCACACAAGTTAATTGTTATTATTCTTGATACGTGCCTTCTTATTCTTGATTACTTAATTGTTTTCTCCTCTCCCAAAAATGAAAATGATACCCAAAAACTCGGAAGATTTATAGAGAAGAATATTCTTACTGCATGTCACGACGTCTTAAAAGACTCCTGAGTTGTGTGGATATATGCCTCTATGGGGGTGTTATCAGGAATTACCACGTGTCAGATATGTGTTGGAAGTGATACAAGACAATGGAGTGAACTGGTATTGTAGGCTCGTGCTTCAGTTGACTTTTTCGCCCCCAACACCTGGTTGTAATGTATTTGGATTTGGATTACATTGTCCTTCTGGAGCAAGTTAATAGTGGGGCCCTAAAGGCGTGATGAGCTGTAATGAACTACGCATTTCCTAATATCCGATACCGTGGTGGATGGATGTTCTTGTTCACAGCTTGCAAAGAGCATAATTCTTAGTGGAGCATCTTATACGCCAAACGCATAAAATCCTTGAATTTTTTTTTTTTTTAAAAACGCTCCTAATGCTCATTCTCTCGTTTTGGATATGGGCATATGGCGTCTTGTGAACATTACGTAAAGCAAAACCCTCGAAGAAGTTTCGCTTTATCAGAAATTTTCATATTTAAAAAAAGGGATCCGGACACGAAATGGAAGTGATCATTTTGGTGCGTCCATGACGACATGAGCATAATTGATGTTCGTGTACTTTCACGCGGAGTTTGCCACGTAACGACCGCACTCGAAGGCCTCGTCGTACAGTACTAAGCATGTTGGGAATTAATTAATAATTATTAATAAGAAAAGAGAATTATAAATGGTTACAAGATAATTTTAATTTTGATATTATACGATTGACATTAAGCTGTGGAGAGCCTGCCCGTGTTGCTGAGTGGACATTTGTGCAAGCGATAATTGGTGCGGTGACTGCGGGGTCTCCGGATTGGGGTCAATGCTTTAGATTAAATATCATTGGATTGGGTTGTCGCGGTTAAGAACGGGCCCAAGCTAGGGCCCACTTTCACCGCAATAGTCTAAGAGACTCGGACGCATTGCTCACGGCAGGGCCATTTCCAAGTCATGCATGACCAGGTTGTCGTTTGACTGGGTCTATCTGTCCTTAATCAGCGCGTATGAAAGGAAACAAAAAAAATTAATATTAAAGGCACGCTTATAAGCGAGTTGTCTGAGATAATGAACCAATCACTTGTCTGGTTAAGGAAAAATACAAGAAGGATTATTATGGTACACTTTTTATGTCAACATGTGGGCCATCGTATTTCGGTCTCCGGCTACTATGTATGACGTTTGAGCCTCAAATATTCGTAACGCTTAAATAAGAACCGCGAGTGCTAAAGTCTTGCAGGTTAATCTGACGCTTGCATGCAAGTCAGACCCACAGATGATTTTATTTCTATTGTGATAGAAAGATAACTGAGCAATATATTATTATTTTATAAAAATTCAAATCTATTGACTAAAAATAATTTATAAGCTTGAATAATATATTCTAAAAATACATTAGTAATTTAGTAAAAATATAAAAAATGTAATTTACTAAAAGAAAAACTAATCTGACCCATCGTTAATGAAATATAAAGGCAATTTCATACAATATCTTTTCTATTAAAGAAAGATATAAACAAATGTTTTTTAAGGGCAAAAAGGAAAGATTCACGTGAACATGAATCATATACTAGTTTTGAACAAATTTAATATCAGATAATAACTTATATGATTGATTTATTGTTATCCAGATTGACTTGAAATAACGCACATTAGGGTTAAATCAAGAAATGTGCAACACCGCCTCAAATTGATTTTCGCAGCTGTATGCAAGCCAGGACGATGTACATCGAATGTGGCTAGCTGGTTTCGCAAATGGCTGGGTGCGAAGGAAACGAAGCATTTGCCACGTCATCACCTTTGGTTATTTTTCTTTCCTCGCCAAAATGAAAAGGAAAAGGTAGACAATGGCTCATTGGCGCTTTATATTTCTATCTCTCGTCTTTCGTTAGAGTCCCTGTCTGTAGACAATGGAATTTTCGCAGGACGCCGGGATCCGCGTCTTTCGATCACCGAGAGTAATGCAATTCAGCGCGGTTCCTTCTTTTCGCGCGTGATCATCATTCTTTCTATTTTCTTCTTCCCGTAAATTCTTATTCTTTTTCCTTTCCTGAATTCCCATCCCTTTATACTCCCGTCGTTCACGTGTTTGCTATCTGCCGTGTTTTACAATTTTGTGGAACTCATTGATTAGTATTCGGTTTTATATTTAAATCCTGAGCTTTTCACATCCTAATCAAATTTCCTGGATTTTGGTGAAGCTTTCCTCATTCTTTTATCGCATGCAATTTCATTTCTGATCGATCGACTATGTTCAGTGTTTCACCATTCCGGGCGATTGGCATATGTTCCATCGTCATGTTGATACCTTATTCATATAAGTACATGAATATAAATGCTCGATCAGCATTGAAATAGAAACTGGGGAAAAGGAAAGAATATTAAGATGTTACTTATGTGTACGAATTTGTATTTATTCAGGAGCCTGGAGGATTAATTTTCTGCGCATTCTTCTGCGATAGGTGTTATTGGAATTTTAAGGTTGAGGAGCGCGAAAAATGTCTGCAAGGAGTGAACACCACACCGTCCCCCTTTCGGTGCTTCTGAAGCGGGAATTGGCAAGCGAGAAAATTGAGAAACCAGAAATTATGCATGGTCAAGCCAGCCAGAGCAAAAAAGGCGAAGATTTCACTCTAATAAAGATGGAATGTCAAAGGGTGGTGGGAGACGGGGTGTCTACTTATTCTGTTTTTGGGGTGCGTTCTTGAAATTTTATTCTTTGGATGTATAGCACGTTGACTTTTTTTTTGGGATTTCCTGGATTTTAAGTTTATAACTTATCGACGGATATTGATGCAATAAACCAGAAGTCAATATGTGGTGGTTGTTACGTGGTTCTTACTTTATAACATGACATAATGAATGGTGCACGTAAACCGTTTAAGTATCTTATTTTGCTATGGTAGGATGAAACATGATGATTTTATTGACGATAAAAGCTGCCCATGAACATAATGATTTTAAGCGTGTTGCTTGCTGATAGGCTAGTTTTAGGTTATTTGCTTAGCGTCGAGTGTATTGTTTTTTCTTTTATGGGTTTATATTGTTACTTCATCATGTACTTGATTGCCGTAGATTGGTTTATGCTTTCCTTTCTTATTGTATCATATCACAAGAATTTCAGCCATTGATGGATTGAATTATTTTTTTATTTTTGGGTATAACTCTTCTGTTTCTATTATTTGCTGTGAATTCTAATTTCAAAGTTCTACAGCTATTTGATGGACACAATGGATCTGCTGCTGCAATTTATGCCAAGGAGAATCTCTTGAATAATGTTTTAAGCGCGGTTCCCCCAGATCTTAACAGAGAGGAGTGGGTGTCAGCATTGCCTAGGGCTTTGGTCTCTGGCTTTGTCAAAACTGATAAAGATTTTCAAGAGAAAGGTATGGCTAGATTTGCCTTTTATGGCATTTGCTCTGGCCTCTGTACTAACCATTCGACTGGAAGAGGCAAATTTGTTTTCGGATTATTTTTTAATCTGTTTAGTTGCGTGTATGACTTGTATATATTGTTACCTCCACATTTACAGGACAAAAATCAGGAACAACAGCAACCTTTGTGATTATTGAAGGATGGGTTGTTACAGTTGCATCAGTTGGTGATTCCCGTTGCATCCTTGAGCCTTCTGAAGGTGGGATATATTACTTGTCAGCAGATCATAGGCTAGAAACTAACGAAGAGGAGTAAGTTGTTATCAATGTTATTGTTGTATGGCTTTTTGCATTTACTTTTAACATAGCTTCACACTTTGTTTTCCTTCTGATAGGAGGGAGCGTATAACTGCTAGCGGGGGTGAGGTTGGTCGTCTAAATACTGGTGGAGGCGCACAGGTACTCCGGCTTTTAATCATACTAGCCCCCCTTTAACCCATAAGGTACTGGCTGTGCTGAAAATAATTATTAACCTACCCGTTCACAGCCAAAAGAAAGTGGCTCTGCTTGTGGCCTTGTGCATAAATCCTATTAGACATGATGTTTTTCTGTCAAGTTACATAACCTGGGAGTAAGAAGTAAACTGTTCAATCATACCATGGTCAATGGGAATGCAAATACACTCTTGTTGATTCACTGGTCACTCTATGATGCTTTATGCTATGGATAGGACCATCAATATAAGAGATCACTAAGACTTAACAATTTTCTGAGGAATTGTTTTCAGTATAAAGTTTTAGTGAACATGTTATGGTAGAGAAATTAATTTTCAATGTCAACTACCATTTATCTTTAATTTGACTTTAATTATCATCATCATTATTATTATTTTGCTTGACTATTGTAGTTGATTTTGTAGGTTGGTCCTTTGAGGTGCTGGCCTGGCGGCTTGTGTCTTTCAAGATCCATCGGTGATATGGATATTGGTGAATATATTGTCCCTGTACCTTATGTGAAGCAAGTGAAGGTTGGTCTTTGCCATCTTTTACTCTGACAAAAATTTGACCTTTTATTGATTAGTTATATATATAATATAATATGACTGCCTTCGTAAGTCAATTTCTATGTATTTAGTTTCTATATACTTCCATTTAATACTGTGATGTTGTTTCACTTTTTCTGTCTCATATGCAAAAACCATTATTTTGTTGCATAATTTCTGGATTTCATGCTTTGGTGATATCTTTCTCTGGCTTTCCTCGCCCCCCAAGTATCTTTTGTTGCAGTGTTTTGCAAATTACGAGATACTTATTAAGTTTTTGTCGAGCTTATTAATTCTATCCTTATGTGGAGAGGCTGTGATCTGTTATTCCTCCCCAAAGAAAATCATTTGTTGCATTTGCAAAAGACAGTGATTTTATCAGACCGGTAATGTTATATAGTAGTGAATGCTGGGCTCTAATGGGACAGCAAGAGCATAAAGTTAGAGTAGCAGAGATGAGAATGTTACAATGGATGTGCGAACATACACGTAAAGATAAAATTCGAAATGAGCACGTATGCGAAAAAGTGAGGGTGGCACCTATTGAGGAAAAAATGGTAGAAAATCGGTTGAGATGGTTTGGGCATGTACAAAGAAGACCAAGGGAGGCACCAGTGAGAAGAGTGGAACATATAACTTTGAGTCCGATTAAGAGAGGTAGAGGAAGGCCTAAGAGAACACTCTTGGAAGTTGTTGAACGCGATCTCTTAATTAATAATATTTATAAAAGCTTGATAAATGATAGAGCACAAGGGCGTCTTGCAATCCATGTAGCCGACCCCACCTAGTGGGATAAAGGCTTGCTGTTGTTGTTGTTGCAAAAGACAGTGATTTTGCTCTAGAAAGCCCAACCGCTTGAGATATTGAAACTCTCATTATCGGATCACCTTGAGATTTGTCTATGGTAGTAAAAAATTATTTAATACAAATCTTGAGAAAATCCAACAGTGGAAGAGTGTTTGAGCTCTCCATATGACTGTGCTATAAGAACTTAAGTCTTCTTTGTTTGTTACTGTAAATCCTGTATGTCTCCTCTCCAAAGATCTTAATCCTGGCCTTTAACTTTTTGCATTATTTTATGCAGCTGTCCACGGCTGGAGGCAGGCTCATCATCTGCAGTGATGGTGTTTGGGATGCTTTGACTGCAGAAGCAGCCCTTGATTGTTGTCGTGGCATGGCAGCAGATGTTGCAGCATCCCTTCTTGTTAGAGTATGCTTAGATCTTTTGAATCATTTGACAAAATGAGTTTTGTGAGCTTTTAACATTGGCTGTAAAACTATATTATGACTTCTCCACAAGTCACTCGGGGTTTAAATGGATCAGGGGTTATGGTTTCTTTTTTCATTATACCTAGGCCGAATACCCAAATATTATATAATAGTATTAAATTTAATTTTTTTAACCTTTCTCTAACATTATGCAGGAATTTGGGTGATTGGGTCATAATGTGATCTCAGCATATACTAAAATCCATTCCTGAATAAAGCATACAGGAACCAGATGTTTTGTGCATTTTTTTTTTCTGTTATACTTCCCAAAAGGATGAACGCCCGCCAAAAACATATCCATTTGCATCCCAAAAAGAAACCTCCTGTGCAGTGGACTCTAATCTTACTTTATAGTATTGCCATGTTGTGGTATGTTTGTTATTTTTACTCTTTTATGTACTGTTCTGCCTTCAGGAAGCTTTACAAGCAAAGGGACTTAGAGATGATACTACCTGCGTTGTTGTTGATATATTACCTCAGGAGAAGCCACCTGCTCCTGTGCAACAACCAAAAAAGGCAGGAAAAATGTTTAAGGCCATGTTTCGCAAAAAGTCCTCTGAATCATCTTCTTGTAATGACAAAGAGTACATGGAACCAGATATGGTAGAGGAACTGTACGAGGAAGGATCTGCTATGCTTTCAGACAGGTCCGGCTTTGTGACAAGTGCTTGTTAAATTTTGCAGGTGCTCTGAAGCTCTATGCCTCCTGACATGAATTTTTTTTTTTATCCGAACTGCAGGTTAGACACAAAATACCCACTCTGCAACATGTTCAAGTTGTTTGTTTGTGCGGTATGTCAAAGGGAGATCAAACCTGGAGAGGGTATTTCAATCCATGCAGGTGTATCCAACCCAGGAAAATTGCGTCCCTGGGACGGACCTTTTCTTTGTTCAAGTTGTCAGGAGAAGAAAGAAGCAATGGAAGGGAAAAAAACATCAGGTTTTTAATAAGTTCAACTCCGCTACTTAACTGTCTCTGTCTGGAGATTCATTTACCCATAATTTTAATTTTTCGCTTTCAGATAGGCTGAGCAGTGGAAGTGACTGACAAATTCTCGTATATATTTGCTTAATGAGAGCGCTAAAGAAGGTTCGGATAACAGGGAGGTCAAACCTCCAAGCCACAGTGGTTCCCTTCTATTATCATGGGAGCATCTCTGAATTTCGATTTATTTATTTATTCCACATGAAAATCCATATGAATTTTCTCTCATTTTTTAAGGCTGCAAATGTAGACTACCTATGGCAGCTTGTTAGAAGAAATCTTGACTTGGGGGAGTGAAAGGGCAACCATCAACGTGTTGTGAGAGGCAGCGTTACGTGTGGTATTGTATGCAAGAGTATGGCGGAGGTACTGTATTTTTTATATTCATGCGTGGAAAGTTGACTTACACGTTGTAATGTGACATACGGAGTTTAATTAGACTTCCTAGATCTCGGTTCCACGATAGGTTTGTGAATTATTTTATTCTTGTAGCATTTTATCTTGGTCATTCCTTTCATCAAACAAACATTAAATGTGATAGAGATGCTTGGAAATTGAAGTATATACATATTTCTTCATATGTTTTTTCCGCTTGTTAGATGCATGCGCAGGAGAAAATCAAAGATTGGGGGTGGGAGGATTATTTCTTCATTTGCCACGATTGCATGCTCTGGCACCCCCAATCATATGTTGTCATGTGAAAGTGGTTCACAGTTTCATGGATGTGGGATTGATTTATCTTGGTTATTAACTGCTAGAATCAGGCCCAAATCAATAGAAAGGGCTTAAGCAACTAGTTTCTCTGTTTTTTGTTTTTTGTTTTTTGTTTTTTTTTTTTTTACCAACGGCTTGAGCAAGTAGTTTGGTTGCCGAAATTCATCTCCTTTACTTTCTGTGAAAAAGACTATTACTTTTGGCGGCGGAATTCAGAATGTGTAAAAAGATCTGATGAGGAGTTGAGCGAAGGAATGAAATTGTAAAAAGAACATATTTTAGACATGGACCTCCTTCCTTAGCAACATCCCAACAACAACCCCCCCCAAAAAAAAAGAAAAAGAAAAAGAAAGAAAGAACAAAAGAAAAGGAAAGGAAAAAAAAGAAAGATCAAGAAGAAAAGAAAGCAACTCCCTCTTGTTGACTGTGTGTTGAACTTCATTGTTTTTCTTTGTCACCATCTTGTCAGCTTTGCAACAACATTGTCGACATTACCGCCATAGTTGCCGCTATCATAAAATAAATGATTATCTTAGTATTTGTATAAAAGGAGCGTGATCCTTGTTTGTTCAGCTTTTTTTATTATTGCATGCAATAACTAAGATTATGTCTAGAATTAATCTAATTAATGATGCCCTTCTACTTGTGTGTATGTAATGTTGACCATTTAAAAAAAAAATGAAATTGATAGTAAAAAAAAACGAGAAAATAAATGAGAGGTTTCTATTTTTTTTTAATCAAATGAATATCAAATGTGATTATGATTTATTAACATAATTCGTTCTTCATTTCCTTTCATAAAACCGATTTCTAACAATGAACTAACTTCGTTAGTCCAGCTAGCTTTTCGTCGTTCTTGGAATCATTTGAATTTTAACATTTCCTCCTCGATACTTGGAAGGAATCTAAAGGAATGGTTTTTAGAAGAACAGAGTGAAATGTAACATGAGCTCATGCTTTATAAGAAGCCTTCTTAATCTTATAAAGCGTTTATTAGGACACTTCGTAATTTTACAATCTTTATTATCCATCTGCGCAAGTTATACGCTTGCATTCCGTAATGTTTGGCGGTATCCAAATAAGATGCTAGTAAAAATATGTTTACACGCTGTCTGTTTTCTTTCCTCCTTTTCTTTTATTTTCTTTTCCATCCTGCTGTAAAAGGAATTCTAAAGTTTTGTTTGTTTTTTTTTTTGTAGAAATTAAAAAAAAAAATTCTGAAGTTTTGAAGTTGAAGTTAGAGCTGGACTCACATTTAATTTTCTTATACCCTTCTCTTTGAATTTCATTGCCCAAATGGATATTAAACAGCTATTATATTATCCCAGAACAATTTCAACAGTAAATTAGCAACCACAGCCAAATTAACTCATCATAAGAAAATTAACTGAAGCCAATCTTAACGGTCACCTTCACTCATGTCTCAGTATTTAATTTAGGTGTGAATGTCGCCTTTGGCTTCTTGAATTGAAACATAGAAACACGACCTCCCTCTCTATTAGTTTGAACTTTAGAGAGAGAAAGGATGGATATTCAATCGAATGGCTCATATCAGAGGCAGAGAAGATAGAGCTTCCCCACCCAAAAAAGCATCAAGGTGTGAAATGTCAAGTGTCTGTTTCTATGCTCTGCATTTTCCTCCATCTCTTATCTTGAAAACTAACTAAAATAATGAATTCACAAATATGGAATTTTAAGAGGTAAAAAGTGGGGTTGATGTCTTGATGAAACAGTCCAACCAAATAATGCCTTCATGATTAAGATGTTGACCTGAACCATGCGTACAAAATTCCTTTATGCCGCATGTGGACCACCTCATACACTAGTATGTGGGTCTCTCCCCCATCTCTCTGTTTTCTCGACTTGCATTACACGCTTTGATTGTTTGTTTTTTATGTTCATGCCTTCATCTATTACAAAATTATAATTGTATGTATGTATTTGTGTTTATAAATATAAGAAGATTTAAATTTGAATTTGATTTTGATACAATATTCGTCCCCATCGTGTCCATGTAGAAGGGGGCTGCCATCACATGACCTCCCCAAACAACATCCGTCCTCCTGTTTCCTTGAACATTCGCGTTCAATAATAATGGGGTCAACAGTACTCTAGGACTGTCATGATTTCACTTTACCACTCTATCCACCACATATTATAATTACGCTTATGTATTGTAACGGATCACCTTTTCCATATTGCAAGTTAGTATGTTTAGATTAACCCCATGACATATTAACGTTGTTTTCTCTGCACTGGAGGAAAGAGCCAATGACAGTGAAAGAAGCAGATGATTTCTTAAGCCATGCATTCAAAAGATTCCATTTTGACATGGGGGGGTTTTATATGTACTCGACGATTACTTCGCGGAGGGGACCTTTCTCACTGCTAAAGCCAAGTCTGCTAAGCCATGCCAATCCCATCTTGATTTAGTGGCCAAATTTGGATCCTTCTGACCTCATTTCCAATATCACTGCCGAAATTGCTGTTGGACACTTGTGCTTTCCCAAGGGCCCACAAAAGCACCAACTTTTTTAACACACGAGTGAAATCTATCAATATCATCTCCCTCCATTCATTATATGAATAGTTAATTTCACAATCTCTCTCTCTCTCTCTCTGTGCGCTCCAGGATTCCTTTATCCCTCTCATAGATAGCCATAGCTTTGTTGACGTCCATAGAACATGAAAAGATTGTAGACCCCCCACCCTCTTCACCACTGAGAAAAGTTGCAGATCAGGAAATTCAGATATATTGTCTCCAATCTTGTTAACCTTGAGCAGAATCTTGCAATGATGGAAAGGCCTCAGCAGCAAAAGTTTGAAGAAAACAATGTGGAAAAGAAAACTGAAGGATACACGCTAGTAAAGGAAGAGAGTAAAGGAGGCCAGAGTGGAAAGCAAGCACAAGCATCATCATCAACATCCTCTTCCCCAGCTCATGACTTCTCCTTCACAATCTCTCTGCACAACTCTTCCTCAGCCACTGCCCCTGATAAATCCAAACCTCCAACTTCATTTGCTCTTGATTTATCTCCTGCAGATGACATTTTTTTCCATGGCCGCTTGCTTCCTCTCCACCTTCTCTCTCACCTCCCTGTTTCTCCTCGCTCTTCCACCACCTCCATGGACAGCTTCACCCTCCCTGTTCGGGACTGCGGAAGCATCGCCAGCAGCGATAAGAGCAACTTCACCATGGAAGACATCAACAAAAACAGCAACAGTAGTAATAGTAGCAGTAATAGCAGCCAAGAAAGCAGGAGCAATGGTGGGTCAAGAGAGGGAGGAAGCAAGTCCAAGTCATCCTTCTCAATCTTTGGATTTACAAGAGGGAGAAAGGAGTGTCAGGTTACAGGGAAGGAAGATGATAAGGAGAAACACAAGAGGAAGGTGAGATTGGATTTGATCCGTGTTGTGAAGAAATACTTGAGAATGGTGCAGCCATTCGGGATTTTCCAAGGGAGAAGAGAGAAAATTGGACAGTCTTACTCATATTCAGGCAATCTAAGTCCCATAAACAAGAGAGACGTGGTCAAGGGAAGAAGAGGAGAGTATTCAGCACCAGCTTCAATGAGGACTTCACCTACAAATAGTGGACTCTTGCTTCCAACCTCCACATTTCCTCCTGCTAGTGATAGTACCATGGAAGAACTGCAAGCTGCTATTCAAGCTGCAATTGCCCACTGCAAAAACTCAATTGCCAAAGATGATAAAAGTCAAATGCTGATTCAAGGGTAGATTCAGAGAGAAAGTTTTTGCATCTGCATTCCCTATTGATTTATAATCATATATTGCTATCTTATTTGATATTTTGTGCATAATTAGATACATCAATAAAAATGTACTTTTAGTGTGATGCCAAATGGAAGTGCCACTTTATTTGTTACATCTCAGTTCTCTAAGAATATTACTCAGTTATAAACTGGGTAAAAAAGAGAGAGAATATCACTGTGTCTTCTGGTACTCAGTTATAAACTGGGTAAAAAAGAGAGAGAATATCACTGTGTCTTCTGGGCTTGCAGCCCAATTTAAGCAGTATCCAGTATGATGTCTGAAATCTTCATCTCCAGAGTTAACGCCTTAACGGTTAATAACTTGTGAGAAAACACTTTGACATTTGTCAGTACAAGTTACTGTAGTTTTTTTGTTGTTGTTGTTAATTTTCCGTACATATCTACATGGATTCTCTAAGATATTCATAATACACACACACAACGACCATATATATGTCAGAGTTATTGATCTGTGGCTGCCTATGTTAATTCTGACATTCTACTGTAGACGACCCATAGTGTCTGAGAGATTGTGCAACTGAGTTCTTCCTAATTTTTCCACTTTTCTTTCTCCTTTTCATGTGTATTTTTTTTATTTTTTGTGGAATATAAGGCCACAGCATAACTTTGTAAAAGAGACAAATATTAAATTATGTATAAAATTATAAAATTTTTACATTTAGATAAGAGATTATAAAAAATCTTAATGTCAAAATTATCCCAAGATGAATGGTGGGCAAGCAAGTTGGCAAATTTGTTAGCTTTTCTATAAACATGATCGAAAGTGAACACTTAATCCTTTATGATGAGATCTCTAATTTTTTTATAATTTCAAAGAATGGGTATCTTTCAGAATAGTTATACTCGATGAGTAATAAAACTTCTATTAAATTGGAGTGGACACTAAATTCATAGAATTTAGCATTCTAACAAAGATTGAGGCCTTTAAAAAATTCCATAAGCTTAGCTGCCCTGCTAGGATAATAACCCAAGTATTTGAACAATTTCTTAGTCCAATTATCCTTTTTGTCCTTGATGATACCTCCATAGGCAATGACATTGTTGATGTTAATAAAGTCGTTGATGTCGAGCCTAGCCCACCCAAGTGCCAGAGGGTTCTATTTAGCTTCGTATCTAGCATCACTTTTGTTTAAGTGGTTGATTTTAAACTAAAGATTTAGGTCATTGATTCTCTACTGAATGTAGAAAAAGGCAACATCATTTTCTTAGATGTCATCTTCTATCTAGATTTTCTTACATCTTGACTTCCATATGTTCTTGTGCAAGGGCACAAAGTTTTTACCAAGGCATTCTTCTTGTGCTCAAGTTATTAGCTTCATTTTTTGTGTTCCAAGTTAGCCAATCTTACACATGAAAGAGAAGAATGTATTAAGCTTGATAGAATTGATTAATTTTTTCCAAACATGAATAGAAGAGGAGCTGTAATTAAAATTAAAGGACAGGTATGTTGTTGGAGAGAATTTCTATTACTCTACATGTAATTGGTTTGTAGCCGATACTAAGTAACTTTTTTAAGAAAATATTTAAGTTTTTTTGTAAACAGGCTACTTCCAAATTTTTAATTCAGAGTGGGTTTTTGTAAGAGTCAGTGGATTTTTGATGTTTTGGTTCAAAATTATATCAAACACAAGCTGAACTGAGACAAATTGGACCATACATATCAGATTCCATGCCAAATAATGGGCTCTATCTTGTCGCAATCACGTCAGAATTATAAGAAAGGGGTAAGGCTACAACTGTCAGTGATATACAAAGAGCACCAACTCGTTCATCAATCATCACACATCTTTTGAAGATTGTGAGGAAATTTAAACCTCAATACACTGTACACACGGCACACCAACCAACCTAAGCATGTCAAAGCTCCAGGGGGCTACATCATTTGAGATCAGAATAGCAGTTAAATGCACTGATTGATACGAACAAAGAGAAAGAAGACAAAAAGGTCAAGAAATCTCTGGTGTCAGATGCATTGAAAAAGGAAGAGGAGAAAGTAGAAGCATTTTGAATCATGAAACATGCGAAGGTGGTAGGGCGCACAGAAAGAAGGTGTGGTCTGCACCATGAGGGTCTCAAAACTTGATGTGACAGGCTGATATACATAGCTTTACAGTATATGACAGAATTAGGGTAATAACACAGCACAGCAATTAGATGATGGCAAGAAGACAATGCCCAAACTTACTGGGTTTACTTTACTCAAGGCGCTATTTTATGGGGAGGGAGAGAAGGGTTGTGTTGTGAGGAAGCCTTAAAGATCATAGCAATGATTTATGAATTAATTAATGGAAAAAGATAGTAATAATGAGACATAGAAAGATGTGTTTGAGGACCACTAAGCGGCGCAATTCCTTTAGACGAGAGAATCACAATCCATATGGTGGCCGCATAGGATATGAATGTTGTCGAAGGAGCCGTACGGTATCGTCTGACTATTTTATTGGACTTGTATATTTAAATATTTATGTGAAGGCCGCATAGGATATTTTATATTTATTTACACCCGGGCCCTCCATCTCATCTCATGTAATTTGTCTCCTAGTGGCGCGCCTCATGAAAGGTTGGATGTATAGACTAGAAAGTAATATTATTTGTATAATAAGATGATTTATGAAAATAGAAGTATACGTTAAAATTTGAGATAAAATATAAAGTTTTTTTTGTTAAATTTTAATTATTTAACAAATATCATTCAATTTAAAATCACAAATGTTCTTAATTGGTTTTCGTTTTATGTTTGGTGTCTTATGGTTTTCATTTCATCTGATATCAAATACCATTTTGTGTTTGCACTAGGCGATTCTATTCTCATAGTCATGGATAACATATCAAAAGTTGTCTCCAATTTAGCCAAAAACCTCTATTAATTGAAAGTCATTGACATTCACCCACCCTTTAGAATATCAGATGGGACCATATTTAGATAAAAATAAGAATAAGACCTAAATTAAACCAAATAAGCACAGTTTTTAACAAAGTAATGATATATAAATTCTTCGTTGACATATTTATTTAAAACTAAAAACAGTATTGAAATTGAAATGCATGTTGCTCATGAGTTTTGGTTTTGCAACCTTCGAAAGAAAGAGAGACCCAAGCATATGCGAACCTTTTATCATGGTGCAACGCTGCTGCGTAATGCACAATGCATGCTACGATGCTACCATAGAAAAAGAGGAAATATTCAACCTGCATTTCACATCGCTCTAAATACCTCTTACCCCCGCTTCGAAACTTTCATAGCTTGAACGATCACTTAATTTTTTTTTTTTTTACGGACTGGCATTGGAGATTACCCTAATTTTCGTTTTGCACAATATTACTTCCAACTACGGAAACAGAAGCCATTACCCTTGAATAACGGATGAACCAATGTTGGTTCCCGGCGTTCAGATAGTTGCATCGAATTTTTCTCTCATTTCGCTGCCCCTATGCCGGTTCCGTTTTCTTCTTTCACTGGCGCCTGATCATGTTACAAGGTTCTCCTCTTCACTTTCACTCTCCCGTACACGTAGAAGAACAGAACCTCTCAAATTGTTGATTTTCATATCTATTTTTTTATTCATGACGTTTCAAATCCCTGTAACTGTACGTGTCTCCATCAATTTCCGTGTGAAAATCCATTGATGTTAATTACCATTCGGTCTTATTAAGAAAATTTCAAAAAAATTAATCTTACGTGCTTTTTTTTTTTCCAGATAAAGAAAAGAAGAACTCTCGGTTTATTCTGATCGATAGGGCTCTCATGTTTCTAGATTTTCTTTATGGGTTGAAACACGTAACTGGTAAGCGGAGTCGATTGGAATGAAATTACTAATGATTAATAATTAGAATAATTTAGGAGAATGCAAGTGGTGGGGAGGCTAGGCAGTTACATTAGTCGGGGCGTATCCACGGTGTCAGGCTCCGTTCGCCCACTTGGTGGCGCTGTTGATATTGTTTTAGTAGAACAGCAAGATGGGAGCTTCAAGTCGTCGCCTTGGTACGTCCGATTTGGGAAGTCCCATGGCATTTTAAGGACAGAAGAGAGGATGATCAGCATTAATGTCAATGGAGTGGAAGCAAATTTCCATATGTATGTGGATCATAAAGGACAAGCTTTCTTTCTCAGGGAGGTCGAAGCGGAAGAGGGAGAATCTATGTTGTATCCATCATCTTCTGGGGATGAGGCAGATTTTCTTGATAAGCTGCATTTGAAGTCCAGAAGTTTTAGTTTCGAATCAGAAAGATCAAATTTTATGGCTCAGGGTGATATAAACACAGGAAACATGCTGACCAGAACTACTTCTGACGGATCAGTGACAACCGGGCTTGTCTTTGGCGATAGTAATTTTCAGCGGGATATTCCCAATGCTGATATGAACGCTGCACGGTCATTGGAGTCTGCTGAAATCGCAGCCAACCTGTTGGAGGTAAAGTGGTCTACCAATCTTGCTGGTCATAAACCACCTCGAAAAGATCGTGTAAAAATTCAAAAGAGAAAATCTCAGCGTGGTAACACGGATAATTCTTCAAACCAAACCCTTAATGCGCAAGACGGCCTCTGTTCCAACCCTGACCTTGAAGTTCCCGGAGGACTTGATGAGGATAACGGTATATACTCATCATGTTCAAGCACCGCGGCTGAAGTTAGCTTTTTAAAACAGGAAACTGAAGTGATAACTGAACTATCAATGAGTGGAGATATTGCAGAGGATGTTGAACATGACAAGAACATGAAGGAAGTTATAACTGATTGGACCGTGAGTGATTTGGAAGTCGCATGTCTCCAACTTCAAGCTAGCATTGGAAAAAAGCAGTTGAGCGGAGATGTGCCTGGTGTTTCAGAGGAGGAGATTCCACATGATGAAGTTCAGACACTAGATTACAGTGAAACGTCAAAAAGTTCAAATGGATGCGTGCATTGTACAACTGGACAAACTCATGAGGTGCTGTACCTTGATAACAAAAAAGGTGAAACACATACTCATGCGGAGATTTTACAAGCGACAACTGTACTACCTGAGGTGAACTCATAAGCAACAATTAGACTAGAAAAGAATATACGTACATTTTTATGAACCATCAGTGGGAATAATTGTTATATATATATATATATCCTGGAATGATTAAATAAGGCACAGCTTTCCTTTTTCTGTTCAATTTGACATGTTGAAATTCTTTAGGTTACAAAAAATGAGGAAGTCACCGACAATGCTGATGTCATTGTGCCTGTAATGGTGTTTTCTCAGACTTCTCAGCAAACAAATTGCGCTCATCCTGGTATTAGCAGGTCTATTGTGGCAGATATAGAAGACCAAACAGCACTGCCAAAAACGCAAACCATCAATCTGGATATTGGACCTTGTTTAGCTGAGAAGGATGGATCAAACTGTGTTGCCGGTATTTCATCCTACAGCAGCCTGGGCAACCAAGCTTTAGATGGGAAAGTTTTGAAGGTTGAAGAAGTTTCAAGCAAATTGACGTCTCTGAAGTCTTCTGGTGATTGTGTACTTGGAAAAACAAACAGACAACCATCTCCGAATAGAGAGGAAGAAGATTTTATTGTCAGTGACCTTGGTGAGTACAGATTCAAGGATCAACCTGAAGAGTGAAACTCCTTTGAATATGCAGACAAAGAAGATAAACTTTTTAACAGTTTTCATTTATCTCCAGAAAGTCAAACAACTGATATTGAAAAGTTGAGAGTAACATCCAGTCATACAGTTGTCCTTAATAATAAGGATGGTGGGGACGAAGACAGGCAGCAGACAAAATCCTTTTCTGGTAGTTTACATTCTGTTAGTAATGCTCTGGGTCAGCATGATCTGTGTCATCCTTCAATTCATTCACAGGACTCAGCATGCAGTATCTTGAAGCAGCCATCATTTGGGAGAGATGATGTGAAATGTCTAAAACCAGATGACCAATTATTGCCTGGGGAATCAGGTTTCAAAGACAACAATACTTTGGGGGATGTTAAGAGTACAGCTATAAATCCTCCACTTGGTAATGTTTTATGCCTTATTCGTTTTTATGCTTTTTAGGAAAATTGAAGAAATCAAGATTTTTCACATATTATGTGCTTATCGTTCTTGCAGAGGGCACCACATAATGGTATTTGTTTTTAGATAAAACCATTCATACTGGTTTTTAAGAATTTGCTAGTATGCTCGAAAGCAACTCACTTCTTACAGTACTGTGGTTAACAACTAGGCTTGTATTCTATAAAAGAAGATCAAGTTGGCATTAAGCAATTTCTGTAGGTAGTTTATATATTGTGCTTCACAAAGATATCTGTTTTTAAGCATTTGTTATATGAAGGAATGTGAGCTGATGCTGCTTTTAAAGGGTTTGGTGTTGAAATTTTGGATATTGATATATTTCCGTTTCTAGATCCTGAATAGCAAGGGATAATAGGCTTGTTGTCAACATTAGCCATCATTACATTTGATGGTATTTAGGCATCATTTATTCTGAAAGTCAACAAACATGTGAACTGAAAGGCATGTGATACTGATTAAACAAGTTGAGAAAAATAATATAGGTGTCTCATCAGCACCCAAACCTTCCCCCAGTGGGAATTGGAAGCTTTGGCCTTTCTCCTTCAGGGGATCAAGTTCTGAAAACGTTGTGGTGCGTGCTGTTGATGACAAAGATACTAATGCTTCAGAGAGTTCAATCAACAAAGATGAAGACAGAAATGAGCTCAAACCCAAGCTACTGAAAAAGAATGTTAGGGCAAAGACGCCAACAGCCGAACAGCTAGCATCCTTGAATCTAAAGGAAGGGAGGAATACTGTAACCTTCACTTTCTCTATGGCAACGCCAGAGAATGAACAGGTCAGCATTTGTGCCTTTTGCTGAAATTTTACTTTAAGTAGATGAATTTATCCCCACATTTCCTTCAAATTATTTCATGTACATTATGTCCTTTTGCCTTTCTAACAGGTTGATGCCCAAATATATTTATGGAAATGGAACAATCGTATTGTGATCTCAGATGTGGATGGGACAATTACAAAGTATGTGCTTATTGAATAAGGAACTGTTTTTATATTCTGGAAGCATGCTGGTTAGCATTCATTTTTTTTTTTATGTTTTATTTTTCGTTTTCTGTTATTGATGTTATCTAAAATGAAGATTGGCATCTGGCTAATGATCTGTGCCTTAACCATTCCTACAAATCTCTGATTATTTATCATCATTGAATGATTATTTTGATTAACTTTAAGAATTATAAATTTAAACTTTGGGAGAGGGAGGTCCTTCCGTGAATTCTCCTTGATGTTTCTGTCTGGGTGATCAAGTTTTCACAGAAATATGTTTACCTGGTGCATATCTATATTTTGCATGTCTAAGTTGCTTGCTTGACCATGTCTCAAACATAATTACTTTCAATAGGAGGACACCTGTGCACAATCCAAGAAAAGAATTTTATTCCCTCTAGACAACTTAGACATGCAAAAGTTACTTTTTTTTTTTTGGCTATGTCGTTTTAGCAAAAAGCGAGCGGAAATTGAGTTTGCACTTTGATATGGCTAAAGACTAATAGAAGGAATATAACTCGATAGAATAATTTTATTTGGTGCTATTGTTCTCTTATGGCGGCAAGACTTGTAAAATTTCAATGTATAGAGTCATTCATTAATCTAAACAGGCATATAAAACATACATGGAGAGACACCTGTGTTTGGAAAGAAACTAGAACACATCCTCTTGCAACACAACGGGTTTTTAAATTTTTATTTTGTAAATTATAGGAGAAAAGATAGGAAAAGAAAAAGGAACAAAGACCAAAAGCAAAATCAAATGCCCCCTAGAAAATAATAGGGTCATATATCTTTGACAATATGTGTTGGTTAAGGCCATTCGCTTCATAGCTATAAGGATTTATTCCTGTGTTTAGTTGAAATAGATGGCCTAGATTGGCAAGTTACAGTTCAATGTGCTGATGGAATGTGTAGTAACTAGAACTTCGTTGGCAGAGACAGGCTCATTTGTATGAATTGGTGATGATGTACAAAAAGTACGTTAATCCCATAGTTCCACTATAATCATTGACGCTGATCACTTGTCCATTCTTTAAAAGCAATTTTTTTGATGATTTATGACAAATTATCATGGTGAAAGTCCCACTTCACTCCAAGAAAGTCCCACCTCCATCTCCCTCATACACTCCCTTTTGTCTTCTGTTACCTGTTTTGGCTGCAGGGATGTATGGAGTCTAATCAGTGTACTGTTCTAAAAATTCTAAGTTACGAGGTTGATAATGGTTTTATTGATATTTCTTACTGTATGGTGTGAGTTGAACTTTGGTCAAAAATATATATATATATATATATATGATGGAAGTTTGGACAAAGAAAAAAAAAATCATGGAAGTTATGCTATTCTTTTCTGCCATCAGTTTTGACATGCAGATTCATGTTTCTTCCTATAGACTCCACGTTGAATTTTCTCTTTTTTGTCAGTTTTAACACTGCTTTATAGTTTGACGATAGTTTTTTCCTTTTTTTTTTCTTGTTTTATTACTAATAGGTCAGACGTTCTAGGTCAGGTCATGCCTTTGGTGGGTGTAGACTGGTCACAGACAGGTGTTGCACATTTATTCTCAGCTATCAAGGTTTGTTTACCCTGCCCATGTGTTTAGGCGTTTGGCAATTTCTATGTGAAAATACATTGTGGTTAAATATTTAATACACTGATCTTACTGTGCTGCATATGAGCGAAGTTTTTTAACAGGTGGGCTCTTAGCAAATTATTGGTAGGCCTTTCTGTTAATCCCACAACACTGTAGGCTCTCATTTACATGTTTAGTTGTTTAACCTTTCTTGATTTATTTTCTGGCGAAATTTAAAATGAAAGCAGTTCCCTTACCCTGCCTATAACAGCTCGTCTTTTTCTCTTTCTATATCAAAATTCGCAGGAAAATGGTTACAAACTACTTTTTCTCAGTGCTCGATCAATTTCTCAGGCCTACCAAACCAGACAATTCCTGGTTAATCTTAAGCAGGTGATGTTTAGAAGTCAAATATTGGTTGTCAATTTTAGTAAAGAAAAGTATAAAATAAATTCACGCTCCTTATCACATTTGTATAAGTAGGATGGAAAAGTTTTACCTGATGGTCCTGTGGTTATTTCTCCTGATGGAATTTTTCCCTCTCTATATCGAGAAGGTATTTAGTTTGTTCTCTATCTTCTCTGTTTTGCTGTTCCTTCTTTATTGCCCTTCCTCATGTGTTGGAGTTCTTTTTGTTTCTAATTCCTATTCCTTGGCCGCATTTGGAATGTCAACTACACCTTTTGGTAACGCGCCTTTGTTCTAACTTCTAGCACAAAGTACCAATACTTTGCATTGAAAATGGATCATTACAAGACTTGAAATCATTATTCATGTTTCATGCATGGTATTAGTACTTTGCGGTTGAAACAGAGACACATTACTAAAAGGTGCAATAGACATTTCGAATGCTTCCTTGACCATGCCTCTCTCTCTAGAATAGATGAGCTATGATTTCCTACTTTTCTATTTCCAGTGATTAGAAGGGCCCCTCATGAGTTTAAAATAGCTTGCTTGGAGGTTAGTTTCCCCACTCTCAATTACTTTCATGGACATAATTTTAATATTTTTATTCCAATCAGTGTTTTGTAGAATAAGTTGAACAGTCCACAAGGGGTTAAAATTTGTTTATTTATTTTAATCAAAGGAAGCCAGGAAATGGCTAACCACACATTACTCATAGTGAGTTTCCTGTTAGTTACAACTATATTCATACTGCGGGAAGGATGTACATTAAAAACCTTAATAACCATACTTTCTCCATTGGCCTTACTAGCAATCGAGTCAATGCATTCATTAGCTTCATGATACAAGTTTGTCATCTGAACATTCCAGGCTTATACCATCAAGTCTCTAATCTCATTGGTGGGCTGAGTTATTTTCTTTAGCCATAAATTCCAAAGCTTTATGGCCCACAGATCCGTGATCTTAAAAGCATAAAAACCTACGTTGCAATTAAGTCCACAGGTTTAATTGCCCATGTGGTGCCCTCACGAGTTCACCACACGAGGCTTTATCATCCATTTTAAGGGCTTCATCAATGTTCTAGCACCAATCCCCTAGTTCCGGTAGCCTCCAACTAGTTTTTCTTTCACGTCCCTTACCATTATACAAGTCTGACCACCTACATTTTCCACGAATGCATCTCCTTATTAACTCCTCTGAGTTATATTCCTTGTCTTCAAAAACTTTACTGCGCTTCACCTGCCATATAATCCAACAACCATATGCATACATTTACTTCCACGGAATTTTTCCCACCCTTCTAGCACCTGTCTTTTCCTTGCAGTTCTATATGAACCAGTAATGAAGGTTTATAGAGAAAAAATCGTCTCATTGATTGGGGGCACCAGTTTTTCCCAGATATTCGAAACTACTGCAACCTGCGAGGGCATGAATGACATCTTGCTGGCTGCATCCGAATGGGCATTCTGAGCTTTGACTTCTGCCTCTATGACATCTCAATCCATTAGTAACCAGTCTGTTTTCCAGGGCGAACCAGAATAAGATTCTTCAAGCATTTGATGTTTACTCTCTGTTACTGTCTTAGGGCTTAAACGTTGGAAAGCAAATATGTTTGTTCTATTTCCAGAAAAAGTTTTTGTTCTATTTAGGCGTATCTACAATCTAGACCAAAGTGATGGTGCATCACTGAACCTAACTGGTAGTCTTATGGTTGCCTTCTGATGTTTCCAGGATATCAAGGCACTTTTTCCTCCTGATTGCAGCCCATTTTATGCTGGCTTTGGAAATAGAGATACTGATGAGATCAGCTACCTCAAAGTTGGAATTCCAAGAGGGAAAATCTTCATTATTAATCCAAAGGTAAATGAAGTCCTTTAAATTAATTTAGAAAATCTTCATTTTAGAAGTATGTGAAATATAATCATGTCAAACAACTTTCCTATGCTTGAGTTTGCAGGGAGAGATTGTTGTGAACCGCCAACATGACACGAAGTCTTATACTTCTCTTCACGCTCTCGTGAATGGGATGTTCCCTCCTACGACCACATCTGAGCAGGTTTAGTTCTAGAAGAACTTGCCTTTCTTTCCTAAAACTGAAAAAAAGAAAGGATTTAAAAGAATCCAAAACAAAGGAAAAGTATCTCATAAATAGGGTGATTGGGTTCCTCATATTTTGTTTTACCATAATTCAAACTCGAAGTTGACTATAATGCTTTTGAGAGGCAACTCGAGCGAATCATTTAGGATATTGTCTAGAGTGTAGGATAGACTCTGGTAATTTTCTTGAATTAAATTCGTGTTCTGCTCACATTCATCACGTTGTGTTCCACATTGGATGCAGGAGGATTTTAATTCATGGAATTACTGGAAGCTACCTCCTCCTGGTATAAATAATTGAAATGGCCTGAGGCCATTTAATGCTTGATAGTCCTGGTCTGAATATGGATGAGTGAAGGTGACACTCAAGAATTAAATGGGTAAATTTATTTCTTAGCGCCAAATATAATTTGCTCAAGAGTGGAATTTTCAACTCCGATTTATTAGATATATCTTTCAATGCGTCTTAAGGATCTGCACTGGTGTCATTTTAGTCAGAAATTTTATTAATTTCTAACCTCTTCTTTCTCAAGATATTATTAACATTAATGAGACTAGAAGACTATCTTTTTATTTAGACTTTATACTTACAGATCTTGATATGAATCTATTGTTTAGGCGTGCATTTCGACACCGGCATTATAAACCTTTGTTGGCAAATTCAGATGATCTGTGTGGTAGCCCCAAGATTCTCCTTCTGTACAAAACATTTATCAGATGGATTGATCTATTGGCGCTCAAATGCCATCAATGGAAGATTTGTGAAGAGCAGGATCATTTTTCCTTCCTCCTGCTTCAAAGTCATTTTCCCTTGTTCATGATGTGAAGTCACCACAATTCGTCATTTCTCATTTGTGGCCCCTAGTTAAGCCGTTTACATTTGCTTGTTTAAATCGTGCTTGTATATAAACTCGAGCGAGTCTCTTCTTCGATTTCCTTTCTTCAATTGCACGTTCCACTTTTTCTATTGAGTTAAATTGGTACTGTAGTTTTAATATTTTATAAAATGTCTTGAAGCAGTTCTTAAAATGTTGGTGCGAAAAAGAAAGCAATAATCCGTCTGTGTCATCAATTCCGGATTCGGAGTCTCTTATTCTTATTTTTGCTTATTTATGTGTAAAGATTCCCGCTTATCCCATCACATGTAATTATAGCCACGTACTCATGGAGGAATATTGGTGTGTGCAGAGGGGGGATCCGAGTGGTGGAGGTATGCTAGACAGTACCTCTGTGAAGGATTTGTGGGTTCAGCCTGAGGAAGGTGTGCTGTAAATCAACTGTGACGGATCATTTATAGAGGAGAAGGGGAAGGCAGGAATTGGGGTTGTCTGTCGGGATGATTAGGGCTGTTTGATCTGTTTTCAGGGTGAGGAAATTGTGGCGGCATCTGCTTTTGTGGCGGAAGCTGTTGCTGTGGAGAAGGGGCTGGGATTGTCAAAGAATTTGGGGGATAAAAGGGTGGTCATTGAAACTGATAATGAGGTGCTGTATTGCAGAGGGATGAAGGGTGTGACTGGATAATCTCTCCTATTGTTCTTTTTTTTCTGGTGCGTGACCAGGGTAATTGTGCTGCAGATTGCGTTTCAGTAGGGTATTTGAATATATTGGACTTATTAATTCAATTTGAACAGGATTTATCACATCAAACTTTAAATATCCTACCCTTTTTAAAAAGTATATATAATCAAATCCAATTCTAGCACATTCGAGCTTATTCAAGTCAGCTCTAACACCTGAAACTTTTTAAAAATATTTTTTTTATTTTGTGAATCAAGTTTAATTTTTAAATAATTCTGTTAAATATAAAATATTATTTTAACTTTAAAAGAATAAAATAACAAATAACAAATTATTAATTTTGTATTTAAGTAGCTTTATTATTGTTTTGTTGTATTATATGTAATTTATTCATTAATATTTTTTTATTTGTAAATTAATATTTTAGTTGTTTAAATATTACTCTTATCATGATCATATATAAATATTTTATACATTTTAATTAAATTATATTATTTTAATTATGATCAAATTAATTTCAATTCAATCACGATTAAATTACTAATTTAAAATTATTGTTTTAATTAATTCAAAATTTTTAATAATTTTTAAATAAAATGTACTTTTTATTTTAAAAAATATGAGAAAAATAATCATCATTGCCTTATATGAAACAAAATCATTTAATTATGAGTAAAATATTTTTTTAAATTATTTTTTCACTTTTTATATTATTTAACCCTTATATACAAGTGTTTTTTATTTTGATTTATTCTTAATTTTTAATCAAGTCAAGTATGGACGATGATCAAATAATTATTTAAAAATATTATTCTATTTATTATATTTATTTAGTAGTAGAATGAAAATTTTGTACATGCCCAAATTTTATTTTTAAAAATATTTTTAATGTTATTTTTATGTTAAAATTAATTATCTTATTTTATAAAAAAATATTTTTTTTGGATATACAAATGATGTATAGGACTCAAAACTTTTTTTAAAAGAATTGGATCTTAAAATATAAAAATTAATATTAAAATATATTTTAAATATGATTTTGAGATATTTTATTAATTAAAAATAATAAAAAAATATTTTTTTTAAAAAAAACTATAATAATTACTCAAATATATAATATTTTAATATATAAAAACATAAAAACTTAAAGCATTATTTATTATTTATTATATTTCATTTATTTTTTAAAAAATATTTTTATTTTGGGTATTCTAGCCAAGTCCAAACCCAATTGAGTTTGATTGTAAATTTTTCAAACAAGTTTGAGCTGACTTATTGAACTTTACTCAAATTACCAACTATAAATAGAAACAGCTACGGGGTTGGACCTAGAAGGGTGGGCTCTTGCACCAACATCTCCACTTGCTGTGTTGCTGAAGATGGATTGGAACAGATTCTTGGCTAAGAAGAAAGGCAGAAGCAGAATTGGCTAGTGAAATTTGTTTTTTCTAACAATTTCCTTCGGTTTTATTTATAAATTATTTCTATTAATCTCATCAATATTAATACAATAAAAATATAAGGAATAAGAGTAAGTGGAATTTCAAAACTCAAGTAAAAAATAAAAAGTAAATAAATAATATAATATTATTTTTTATCTTTTTTCTTTTATTTTTCTGATGTAGTTTGAAAATTTTAATTTAAAATAAAATAATTGAATGTATTAATAACTTATGAAGTGAATGAGAACATGATTCTAAAAATAACAAAAGGAGCACTGTGTTTGCTTTGTGTACTGTTCGTTTTCATGGCTTTCGGTAAGTTGTACCGATAGGTTTACTCGCTTTCTTTGCTTTCCGAATTTTGCTGTTGCAGGTTTTACTTTTCTTTTGCTTCCCGGCTTTGTCAGTATAAGTGAGTGCAATAATTTCTTCATATTAATAAAATTAACTTTTTGTTCGCAAAAAAATAATTAAAGCCACGCATTCATCTTTTATTACGTGATATTATAGTCTTTTACTTTTTTTAGAATATAATTTTTTTTTGAAGGGGGAGAATTAAATTTTCTATGTTTGCAATTTTTATTTTTTTTATTATTTCTTCGATCTTCATTTTTTATCGTCCCTTTTCTTTTTTCAGATCAAATAGTTGTTATATCATATTAATTTTTTAAAAAATTAAGCATTCTATATAAACTTTGTCTTGTGATCATAATAATAGCTTAAAGTTTAACCCGCTAGCAATCAGGAATTAAGAGAATAACAGTCCGTAAAATAAACTCACTGACTTTGGTCAGATTCGTGAGGTAAATAGATGCTATTGCCAACTGAAAATTGGGGAACTGCGTCGTAAAGAACAAATGAATTACAAGAAGAAACACAAAAAGAGAGAAACTTCAGAACCTAGTGAATAGTGATCCTGATGTTGAAATATTTGTCAGCAAAGCCGGCAAGATTTCTGAATTCGGTGTCATCAATGAAGCCATTGTGATTAGCGTCTGCGGAATAGATATCCCTTTTGCTCTTCCAGGAAGCAAAAAGCCCTCCGCTGAGTCGCACAGCCTCTCTCAGTTCAGAGTGGCTGATTCTGCCGTCACCGTTAGAATCAAATCTCCGGAGCCACCGCCTGAACTCCTCCAGACTCATCACTCTCTTGCCGTCGCTCGTGAGCACATTCCGCTTTATGAACGCCATGCCGTTATATTGCTCTCCTTCTAATGCACCTCTCACTCTCTCTGATGTGTTGCTACTAATCTGCTATTTATATTTGCCTGTGACTTATATAAGCCTTTCATATTTATATTGCACATTTCTAGTGTGATAAGCATGCGCAATAACGTAAATAATCCCATGTTGTCATGCATATTTATTTAATCTGAGAATAAGAATCCTAATACTCTATATGTTCATATACATGCACTCCTAGGCCTATCCATATAATATTAGCGCAGTTGCACCGCCTCCATCCTACTAAAAAGCAAAAGTACATGTCATTAGCAAATTTCTTGATAGGTTGCGATGTATTAGGACAGCCCCATCATCCTACTAATAGTGTTCGGAACATTTAGGCCCCTTTAATAGGTTACGATGTATTAGGACAGCCCTATCATCCCTTTATATACTTCCAGATGATGCATGGTATCGTATATATCTACCATGAACAAATCCAAGCTGTGTCTAAATTTCTAGAATTCATTACAATAAACTCTCGCGGTGCCTTTTAGGTCTGGAGAGAATCTTAATTTCCTTAAATACTTTCCAAGTTATCATCAATAAAATTATGGCGGGAGTGAAGAATCATTTTGTATACACTTGTATGTCTAATGTCTGTCTGATAACATAAATATCAATTCAGATAGTGTGTGTGTGTGTTGGTAAAAATATGTGTATATGTATTTATCTGCGGTTTGCTTTCTAACTAAATGTACATTATGAGAATTCAAAACAATTTGAGTTCTCTGCCAACTATCATAATTATGACATGCAGTGGGCGTTGTTTAAATAACTAAAATAAAAGTGTTAAAGTGACGAAGAAAATAGAAGATCTTATATAATTACATTTTTATGTTATCATTTCTCTAAATATACGAATGTATAATTATGGAAAATCTAAATTGATAATTGAGAAGATATATAAAGAAAAAAATATATTAAAAATGAAGAAATTTCATTCATGATCTCTATTTTTTAAAAAATATGTGCTTTAGAGAGAACCTAACTTGAATAAATACCAGTATATAATATTGCTTTCTTAAGTTTCTTGTCCTTAACTTCACGTCATATAAACAGCATCTTACTTAATAGGAAAAATTATTCATAAAGACCAAATGATTAAGTTTTTTTAAAAAATAAGGACATCATATGAAATTTAAAAGTACTGAGACAATGAAAATTTTATAGCCACACTAAATTACCTTTGTTTTATTTCGGGAAAAAAATTACCTTTGTTTTAGCACCAAATTATTTATATGTGTGGCTATTAATAAATTCATTATATATGGCTAGTAAATGAGATAAATTTATTTTATGGGTATTTTCAGTCATTGCACGTCTCTTTATTTTTAAGGAAGGACCTTAATTATGGAAAATAATTTCGGAAATTTAATATCCTTTTTTATAAAAAAAAAAAACCTACTATATTGGTCCTTAAGCATGTATAAATCTTCCTATTTTTGTTTTCGTCTTTTGCTTTGGAGGGTGGCTGGACGAATTCATGGAATTACTGTAAGCCTAGAAGCTACCTCCGCCTCCTAACTACGTGGCCTATACATATACATATACACAGATGTGCGTGCGTGCGTGCGTGCGTGCGTGTAGTATTGAGATTCATTATCTTGGTCCTAATATTAATTAGACATGGTGTAGAGTGTGTGCTGCTTCTAGAAATGTTTGTATGATTATTCAAAAAAAGAAAAAAGAAATGTTTGTATGAATTACACCCCCATTTGTTCTTTTGTATATATGGTATCTTTTATATTACCAAATATTTTGATTGAAATTATAAGCTAATAATATCTTCAATCCTATTTATAAATTATTTTTAATATTTTTCATCATACAAAAGTAAAATCTTTAAATTTATTAACATTGTTTAATAAAGTAAAAAAAATCAACTTTACTCATGTTAAATAGATGGTAAAAAAATTTCCACTTTCATACATTGACATTAAATGTAGATAAAATAAAACAATAATAAATAATTACCCGTCAAAGTTTTAAAAATGATCTTGGTATTAAATTATGGGATTTAAATCTTCTGAAATTTAGATTGGCAAATTTTGGTAGAGTTTTCTTTTTAGTATTTTCACTCTCTTTATTTTTTAAAAAATATAAAATCTTCTCTTTCAAAAAGCTTCATCTAAATTCATCTATTTCAACTTCATAGGATTTAAATCCTAAATTGTGAGTGCATGTTCTATGATATGGATGAAAACTAAAAAGGAGAATTTTAGCTAAGGACCATTGTAGAGAATTAATTTTAAGTTAGTTCAAATTTTTTTTTGAAATTGTAGTTCAGTACAGGAAAAAAATCAAAATAATTGTGATGATAAAAAAGATAATACCCTTCTTTTTTAACGCAAAATCACTAGTTATTAATTTTTTTATTGTACTTGATATTTTACTAATATCACTTGTAAATTACATCCATATATCAAATAATCAGTAACATTAGTTGTTAATTTTTACATATTAATTTATTAACATCAGTCATAAATTACTGATATATCTTGTAATTTACTAATTGATGTTAGTAATTAACAATTAAAGTTAGCAATTTAACTACTGATACTACTACTTATGATTAAAAAACTAATGTCAAGTCTTATATAATTATTGACATGTCAAATCATGTAATTTGTAACTCATATTCATAAATTAATAAGTTAAGTAAAAAAATTAACAACCAATGATTCTATATAATAAGTAAAGGATATTTTGATTTTTTTATCGTCAAAAATATTTTAACTTTTCTCCCCTAAATTGAACTAAAATTTAAAAAAAAAATTAGACCCATCTAAAATTAATTCTCTACAGTGGTCCTTTATTGAAATTTTTCCAAACTAAAATCTTTAGATCATTTTTGGGAGAATGACATTAAAATCCTGAAATAATGAATTTATGATAGTTAAAATTTTCTAAAAAATTAGTTGTAAATATTGATTTGGATAATTATAGATTCAAGAATTTTAACTATAAATAAGATATTTAAATTTTAAATATAACTCTACATTACAGTTGAGATTCCTATTTATAAACATTTGAATCAATATTTATAATTTATTTTTTAGGAAATTTTATCAAGAACTTAATTGTCAGAAATTCCAAGTTTTGAGACTTTTTTTTTTATGAAACCAAGTTTTGGGACTTTATTATTATTACTCTCCCATATTTTTTTGATAAATTGACCATGTAACTTTTTTTAAGATGCATGAAAATGTAAAAAATAATTCATAATAAATAAAAGAAAGGAGTAAGAAGCAAAGCTTTTGAATGTTTTAGCATGTGAGATCGCATGATATTTTACTCAGAAGAACTATACTTTCAAATTTTGTTCATATTTTCTCATATAATTTGTTAGATTCTTCTTTACAGAAGATATTGATTGTTTAATTAAATGCTAGTCATTAATATAGAATATTTCATCGGTTTAAAATTATAAAATATTTTTAAGTAACTTTCACTTTTCAAGAAAACAGTTAATGTTAATAAAAATTACCACTCATATCTATTCTTATTTAATTTAATGACAACTAAATATAAATGTATCATTAATTTCAAATATTACGGTCATTGACAACTAAATATAATGACAACCAAAAGGGCAATCGCTCGATGACGTGGATTGGCCCATTGACTATAATTACGGTCAGAAGATTCGGATTCTGTGCCGGTAGAGTAAGGAATTGTATTACTGTTTGGGTACGCTAATGTTGATCATGCCATATATTTGGTCAAAAAAAGAAGCTGATCGTGTTTAAAATATATATTCCCTCTGTTTAAAAATATAGTATTTTTTAAAAAATTAAGTGTTAAAAAATATAAAATATTTTTAGTCTTTTGAAGTATAATCATTGTTTTTTTTTAAAGTGCCTATATTAATAAATGACTTTATATTTATTGTAGGGTGTTTAATAGAGGTAAATATAAAAATATAAAGTTAGTTTAAAATTAGATAATTACGTTATTGGAGGGTAAAATTCGATTAAAAAAGCCTTATATTTTTTAACAGAAAGAGTACAAGAAAGCCTCCCATGTTTATTACATGTTCTTAGCACTATTTAGCCAATAAAAAAAAAAAAGTTTCGAGCACTCTTACTCATGCAAATGCAATATTTCCCTTACTAAATACGATTAACATTTTGAATCTATAATAATCAAGAGATCAATCCCAAAGAAGATTATCAAGTTTATAATTTAAGAAAAATGGAATATCAAGTTTTTATCGTTTAAAATACTTTGAAAATCATTTATTAACTTTTAATAAAAGTAAAATAATGTTATGAAAGCATAAAATATCTCAGAGGAGTGAAAAGAGTTGAAAGCAGTTGAAAAATTATAAGGTTTTGAAAATAAAGCAATGCGACATGGCTCATACATAATGTGCCACGACTTGTCACTTTTTGTGCCATGTGCTGCGGTATGTTGCACGTTAATAATAATATTTTTATTGTCATTTGACAGCATATTTGAGCAACTTTGGTTTGTCTTATTTCTCCGTCCAACGTCTGAATGAGATGATTTAGGTGTCTACAGAAAGCTCATATCATAAGCTAACTAATGGCATGAGTTTCACTTTCAAATCAAGTCAAAAAGTTAGACACTCAAATATATTTTCACAACTTTTCTCAACTTTCTCAACAAATGGGTGCCCAAAACTCTAGACAAATGTCAAAAGCCATTTTTAACATCTAGATCATATTCATTGGATCAAGAACTAACAATACAATGTTTATTGCGATAATATGGCTGCCATCCATATTGCTAACAACCTAGTCTTTCATGAGAGGACGAAGCACATTGAAATTGATTGTCATTTCATTCGGAAAAAGCAACAAGTCAAAATGATAAATTTGCAAAATGGTGGCCGGTCCTCAAAACAAGATGCTAACATATGGACTAAAGCACTGGGAAAGAAGCTTATAATAAATTCATTGGCAAGTTGAAGACTATAAATTTGTATAGTCACAACTTGAGCGGGAGTGTAAGAAATAAATAGTGTATTTTGTAATATATATCGATATTTTGTTATATTGGTAGTTTATGCACAGGTCCTTTATGGCCCAAGTTGAATACTAAATATATATATATATATATATGGTTCGTACATAGTGTTCAATTAACGGAAAATATTTTTTCCATTCAATGTTTTCGTTCAAGGTGCAATGAGCAACCAATGATACGTGAGTATCCATGACTCATAAATATTTTCCACTAACTGAACACTATGTACAAACCCTATGTGTGTGTGTGTGGTATTCAACTTGGGCCATCAAGGACACCCGTACACAAACTACAAATATTACAAAATATTGATATAAATTACAAAATACACTATTTTTTTTCTACGGCGCAAGGGTTGAGATCATTTTACAGCCCCAAAGGGAATTAAGATTCTTAGCATTGCAGCGACAGATTAGATGGAAGGGAAATTGAAGAACTAGCCCTTCTTAAGATTGATCCAGCACACGTTTAACTTGGGTGATCAGTTTGTGTGAATATACAAAGCTACAGAAGAATGAAACTAATCAGCAGAGAGGAAAATTGATCAAATGGGGCAGATCACCCGAAGGAATGAAATTTTAAAGAAAAATCAGAACTTGGTGATCCTGATGTTCAAGTACTTGTCAGCAAAGTGGGCGAGGTTCCTGAACTCATTGTCATCAATGAAGCCATTGTGATCAGAATCTGCAGATTTAATGCCTCTCTTGCTCTTCCAGGAAGCAAAAAGGCCGCCGCAGAGTCGCACGGCCTCCCTCAGTTCAGAATGGCTGATTCTGCCATCTCCGTTAGAATCAAATCTCATGAGCCACCGCTTGAACTCCTCCAGACTCATCACTCTCTTCCCATCGCTCACCACACCTCGTTGTATGAACGCCATATGTATTTACGTCTCTATTTGATCTCCTTCTCGTGTACTGTGTAGCACTTGCAATATGCTTCTGGTTCTCAAGCCCCGCCTATTTAACGTTGCGCATTTCTGGGGTGATGTGCATGTCCCTATTATATATGTGTAATAATTAATCAGCGCCTTTTTGGCTTATTCCTGATTCGAAGGAATGAGATTTCCTCTACAATACCGCAGACAGATTAGAGGCTGCTGCTTTCCTGTGTCTCGCTATGCCTAACTCCCAGCCTCCCAGCAGACAAAAGTATATGCTGCTTGCAAATTAAGAATTCAGATATTCTAATTCTAACGGCACTATCATTAGATTACTACAAATCGTTTCTTGTACGTTGTCTCCTCACAAACCCGCCTGCCTTTACGCTCCATATGCCATCTATCCATCATAAATAAATCCATGATTTGAATCATCTCCAATCTCCAATCTCCACACACTCCATTCTCCTTTCTCTCTCTCTCTCCCCCTATATATATATATATATATATCTATATATGTAGACGCGCGCGCGCGCGCGCATCTTTTTTCATGCTCCATCTCGTTCTTTCATTTAATTATCTATTCAATTTAATGACCACATATTTATTTTCATCACTCAAATGTTTTTTTTTCGGGAAACACTTAAATACTGTTTAATACAAAATCATAATAATTTTTAATAGTAGTAATAATTAAATAAATAATATGTTTACTTTCATGACACAATTAGCAATCTTACAGGATTTAATCAAAAAAGCAATTAAACGAACAAATGAGATTGAGTATTGAGAAGGAAAAGATTTAGATGCTTAATATATATACCCCTATTCAATCAAATTAAAATAAGTGGATTTTAAAGTGCTAAAAAATATTAATAAAAAAAGTATGTTATATAATAAATGATGTTATAAAATACTCACATATATTCATTTAATTGAAAAGAATATTTTTAATTAATTATATAAAGTTAAATATATAAATTTTTTTATGAAGCAATGCACGGAGATGATTCAAATTCATGAGTATATTTTAGGATTTCTTCACAACTTGTGACTCGTTGGTTGTTCCACTCCATGCATCATATTTATACGTGCGCAAGAGAAGCCTTCCTTTTTCAAATCAATTAGATTACATAATAAAATGAGACGAAATAGGGCATCAACAAGTACATCTAATATATCTAGAAAAGGGAACGATCAATAATGTACATGATGTGGGTTAGCCACATCAGAGTCGAGCCCGAGATCTTAGGGACAAATATAGTGTGTGTTTAAGGAATTACGTTGTTGGGCCTTTGGAATATTTTCATAAAAAATATAATTATTGAGCTTTATAATTTTATCAAATTTTCTTTTTTGTTTCTATAGTTTTTTTTAAAGTGTTTCCAGTCCTTAATAAAAATCTGAGTAACAAACGTCAAACAATCTTATTGAAATTATAAAGAATAAAAACATAAAAGAAAAACTGCTGAAATTAAAAATAAAACCCAATAAAATTATAAAAAATGATAATTATATTTTTTCCTATTCTCATTTAATATATCAATCATGCACGTGACGATGATCATGTCCAAGTACAATTGAGTATTTTTCCAATATTTTGTTGCTCCACTTCTCTTCTTACACCTGATAGCGTTATCTATTATTTTCAATGCAACTTTTCATATGCGTCTTTATTTATAATTTAAGACAGATTCTTGATACATCTATCTTACTGTGTCCGTTTTCTCATTAATATTGTGTATTTGTTATCATGTTACATTCAATAATTTTCTTATATATGTTATGACGTATTTTTTTCCTTAGATTATTGATGCTTGTTCATCAACAACCTATATCATCACATACTAGTGTGTTGCTATAGGATTGATTTGCTTGATTTTGCACCCAAAAGAACAGGAACTGCCACTATATTCTAGTATTTCTTCCTCGGTATGATTCTATCAACAAAGACCATAACTAATGTTACTAATCATCATTTAGCTGTTGCATTTATTTTTCCTCATTATCGGTCACACTTAGGGTTGGATACGATATAAAAGATTCCTTACAGCACATATATCCACTACTAGGGGATAGATTGGGGTGTGGACTTTGATTTTTATTCTTTTTTGGTATGTCTTTTTGTGATTTCCCATTTCAGATTTTTTCTTGTTATCATTCAACATGAATTTCCCTACTAGAACATCACTCCTTTTTGTAAATAAGGCATTTTGTCACGATCACCAGCTCTTAATCAACAAAGAACAACTAAGAACAAAAGCTAATAGAAATTCTATTACTGATTCAATATAAATTTGCAAGAATCATATGCTCAAGTATCATAGATACAATCCATAATAAAAATGAAATAGCGAATAGTGATAGAATTTAGAAAAAAATAATAATGGGGAGAATGACAGACTAGAAAGCAGAGGGACGAGAAGAGATCGTACAGAAAGAGAAGACAAGATAGATCTCTCAGCTATTTTGCTCAACCCTAATCTTTTCTTCTTTATACTAGCTCTGGCCCATTAAAAAATCCTCTAGCCCATTCCATAATTTTGCTACAATTTTAGCCCAAACTTGAACTAAGGCCCATCTGTGACACATTCTTGAATTTGAAACCATGCTAAAGTGAGAAAAAGTGAATAGGCATTTTTTTTGGATTCAAAACAAGGCTCATGTCCAGACTTTATTTAAATAAAAACTAAATAACGATCACTATGATCCATAACATCTCAATAAAGCCACTCAAAAATCCCAATAGGAGGGTCCCTTGAGAATTTTATTGTCATCATCTTGACTAAGACCATATTTAGCAATCCAATCTACACTCATATTACTTTCCTTGTGAATATGCCTCACCTCCACATTCTGCTCTTTATTAACCATTTTTGGCTAACCAACAAGAGTTGAGTTGCCTAACCAACGGAATACGTAAGTCTCTCACAAGTTTTAACATGTTGAATCAAAATTCAAATATATGCTAAAAGGAATGTCCACGTTTAATAATTGACTCTCTAATAAGAAAAACTGTGAGAAATAAAAAAAATCCTCTTCGTCATCGTCATCGTCATAAGTGTGGTAGCAAGCTAGGATTGAACCGGAAAGCTGTTTTCTTAGTTCTCAGTGAAAGTATATATACACTAGTATAGAATTACGCATATTTGATGCATATATATTTGACGGTTATTGAAAAATCCATTGAATAAGGAAAGGCGGTAACTGGAAAAAATAATATTTGACGGTTATATATAAAACCGTTAAACTTAAAATATAATATTTAAATTAGGAAATTTTTTAAAATTTTTTTATATAAGTTTGACGGTTATATAGTTAACCGTCAAATATAGTGAGACAATATTTGACGGTTAAACCTGATAACCATCAAACTTATGCCATTTAAAATTGCCTCCGCCTTACTCATATCACGCGTTGCTCTGCAGAGACCAGACATGCCTGAAAATGTTCAATCTCTCTGAAATTTCTGCTCCACCCAAATATTTCTGCTACTTCGACTCGTCTAGAAGCATTGATTTTTGAAGAACCCATTGTTCATCATTGTGCCCTAGCTTCTCTGAGCACAGAATCGCGTCCGTAATTAGAGCTTGGTGAAGAATCAGAGCCTTTGCAAGCGATTGGGCTGTTGCTCTATGAAGAATCAGAGCATTCTTACGGTCTTGCTCTGTCAAGTTGGTGGAATCCATTGAAGCTATTCTGTTCTGCAATTTGCTGCATTGACCGAAGAAATTTTGAGGTATGTTTAAGCTATTCATTCTCTTTTTTTGTTCAAATGCTGTTCGAATTGGTGACTGTGGTAGCTATAGTCTGTGATTGATACTCATACTGGATTGCTTGCTTTACATTGATCATTTTCTACTGTGGCTGGGTGCTCAATGAAAGTGTGTTGATGTTGTTTACTTTTCTTTCCATGGATGCATGCAAGGTGCTCGACAGAATGCCTCTAAGAAATTGAAAATCACCCAAGTAGTACTCTTAGCCAAAAAACTTAGATTGGAATATTAATTATTATACCTAATTAGAGCAACCCTTTTTACAAATTAATAATGCAAAAATATGCTGAATGAAGATTCTCAAGTGTTATTGCCTCAATTTCTTAGTCACACATACATATAACAGGCAATTAATTACCAAAAATAGTCAACAAGAAAGAAAAGTGCCTGAATAGTATGGTAAAAAAGAAGAATATTGCTCAAGGAGGATGAAGGATGAAATACAAAAGGGAAGGGACTATAAAATTCTTCTCTGCCTTCCACCATTGCTTTACTCCTTCATATACCCAATTCCTTTCCATTAAGCCCATTTCTTATGAGCCTAAACATAGCCATTGGCCCATTAGTTGACAACTCATAACCCAACCCAAGTACTTAGGCTAATCCGTTATAATTTATAATTTATAGTTGGCATAAATGAGGAAGAGAGCTAGAAATATATAATATCTAATTATTTATATATATAGTATTGAGAAAAAGGTTTAAAACTTGGGGGACTTCTAAATAATGGTCAATCATAGGGCAAAATGATTTATGATTATCTCGACATCTGAAGGCATAAAGTGTATGTAAACAAAATAATTATTTTCAAGAAATTTCACACAAAATATGGCCTATATATCTATAAATCTAGCATATATATATATATATATATATATCAAAATTAACGTTTATTTAGAGCATATCTTTCAAGGCATATCTATGAGTGTAGCTTATGTATCTACTGTTATTAGAATTCAAAGATGAGATATTATTATTTGGTAGTTCTTTAATTCCTATGTCAAGATAAAAATCAAGATTTGTTGAAAAGAAGAAAAAAAACAGAGAGGATACTGTTCTTGAAGTATTCTATTGGGCATAAATATATTTTGATTTACTGCTATTGGAATCCAAAAATATAATAGAAAAATGCATGCTTGTGCACATGACACTAGCTAGATGTTTGGCATTTTTTTGGCTTAACCATCGACTAAGAGAATAAAAATATTTCACATTTATTTTTTTAGTTAACATTACAAAAATTGACTTGTTGCTGTTGAATTAAGTTTGATTAAACTGTACAGGGATTGAATTTAATTTGAAGAGAGGATAAAATGCCCAAGAAACTTCCAATTATAAGTCGTTATGCTGCCAAAATTTTGTTAAATAGTAACAAAATTTGTGGCTTTATTAAGTTTCAAATCTTTGAAATTATGTTTTTGTGAATTTGGTTGTTATCCTAACTAAGTAGGAGTGAATTAGATTATAAGCTATGAAGTTTTATTACTTATTAATAGATAGTGAAATTTTTACTAAAACTAAGTTCTTCAAATTAGTTTTAGTACTTGTAGTCAATAAAGTTTATTGAGGAATTATGTGTGAAAGCATGTGACTCATGATTCATTATTTGATTGATGAAGACCTAATATCAATGAGTCACTAATCACACTTTTCCTCAAAATGATTCTTTCTAGATCTGGAAGATGGACAAGGAATGGATGTCTTCCAATCAATTAACGAAGGAATACTTGAATGGGGTGAAAGAGTTTATTAAGTTTGCACTTGAGCACACAAATGATCATACTAGTATAGTGTGCCCTTGTGTAAAATGTTGTCTGATGAAGCGGGTTTGTGCGTCTAAATTAGAAGATCATTGAATATGTTATGGAATTGATCAGAGTTATAAGTGTTGGCACAAACATGGAGAGACAAGAGATGCGAGCCGGGGTTATAGTAAGAGCTACTTGTCACATGATTTTGATACAAGTACATATGAGGTTAATGAGGAAGACCAACTTGAAGAGATGGCCAGGGTAATTGAAGAGGAATTGAAGGATTGTCCTGAAATGCTTGAGAGATTAAAAAGTAATGCGGAAAAGCCTTTTTATAGTGGTTATACCGAGTTCACATTATTGTCAGGGGTGTTAAGTTTGTACAACTTGAAAGCGAGTAGCAGTTGGAGTGATAAGAGCTTTAGTGAATTGCTTGCACTTCTTAAAGTGATGCTACCTAAAGTGAACGAGCTTCCTATTAACACGTATCAAGCAAAACAAATGTTACTTGCTATTGGCATGAGCTATGAGAAAATTCATGCTTGCCCAAATGATTGCATATTATTTAGAAATGAATATGAATCATTAACTAAGTGTCCAAAATGTAAAGCATAACGCTTCAAAGATAATGGGAAAAGTCCGGAGAAGGCATTGTGGTATTTTCCTATCGTGCCTAGATTTAGACGATTGTATAGTAGCAAAGAAGATGCAAAAAATTTAACGTGGCATGCGGATGAGAGGATTAAAGATGGAAAATTGCAACATCCTGCTAACTCTCTCCAATGGGGAAGGATTGATCATGAGTACCCTGAATTTGGACAAGAAGCAAGGAACTTACGCCTTGCATTATGTACAGATGGAATGAATCCACATGGGCTCCAAAGTAGTACCTATAGTACTTGGCCAGTGATTTTGATAATTTACAATCTGCCTCCATGGTTATGCATGAAACGCAAATATATGATGCTATCCATGCTAATTTTAGGGCCAAAACAACCCGAAAATGACATAGACATGTATTTAGCTCCTCTAGTTGAAGACTTCAAGTTATTATGGGAGATAGGGGTTGAGGTGTATGATGGGTATAGGGAAGAAAAATTTAATTTGAGAGCCTTGTTATTTGGTACCATAAATGACTTTCCAGCGTACGGTAATTTATCGGGGTACAGTATAAAGGGGAAACTTGGATGTCCTATTTGTGAAGAAAACACATATTCAATTAGGTTGGAGCATGGTATGAAGAATGCTTATATGGGGCATCGCAGGTGGTTGCATCCAAGTCATAATTATCGACAATTGAAGAAATGTTTTAATGGGAATTCAGAAGAACGTGGCCCACCTTTAATGTTGATTGGTAACCAATTATTTGAAAAGGTTAAGGATTTGTATATTGAATTTGGGAAACCTTTCTCAAAGCACCTTGGGACAAGTAGGTGGAAGTAAAAGTCTATTTTTTTAAGTTACCGTATTGGAAGGTCTTGTATGTTAGGCATTTTCTTGATGTGATGCACATCGAAAAAAATGTTTGTGATAGTGTTGTTGGTACATTACTCCATATTTCTGGAAAGACTAAAGATAGCATCAATGCAAGGTTAGACATGTTTTCTATGGGGATAAGGGAAGACTTAACACCAGAGGAGAAGGGGAGTCGCACCTTTCTTTGTCCAGCAGCTCACACATTGTCTAGAAAAGAAAAAATTTCTTTTTGTGAGTTTCTTGCTGCAGTTAAAATTCCAAATGGTTACTCATCAAATATTAAAAACCTTGTGTCAATGAAAGACCTAAAGTTGAAGGGTTTAAAATCTCATGACTGTCATGTTTTGATAGAAAATTTTATTCCGGTGGCAATACGTTCTATTCTACCTAATAAGGTACGAGACACAATCACAAAATTATGTTTCTTCTTCAAATCCATTTGCAGTAAAGTTATTGATCCCAACAAATTGCTGAAGTTACAAAGCCAAATTATAAAAGTATTGTGTGAGATGGAGATGTATTTCCCACCTGCTTTCTTTGACATAATGGTTCACTTAACCATTCACTTAGTGAAGGAGGTATAAATGTGTGGCCCGGCTTATTTAAGATGGATGTATCCTGTGGAGCGTTATATGAAGATATTAAAAGGATATGTCAAAAGCCGTAATCGACTTGAGGGTTGCATTGTTGAACGGTATATCAGTGAAGAAGCGGTTGAATTTTGTACTGAGTATTTAAAAAATGTCAATTATGTTGGACTACCAGTGTCTCGGCATATGGGAAGGGAAGGTGGGGAAGGGATAATAGGAAAGAATATAGTTACTGTCTTAAATTTACAGTGGGATCAAGCACATCTTTATGTGTTGCACAACTCAGAAGAGGTTTAAGAATTTGCAGACAAGCACTTGGCTGAGCTTAAGAAGGATAATCCCAATAGAGGTGAAACTTGGTATGTAAAAGAACATAATAAGCACTTTGCATATTGGCTGAAAGAGCATATTTGTGATATGTTCAACATGAATCTTGATTCTGTTTCTGAAAAAGTGAGATGGTTGGCTAGAGGTCTGAGCATGCAAGTAGCTTCTTATACTAGCTATGTTATCAATGGATACACCTTCTATACTAAAGAGCAAGATAGTCGAAGCATAATGCAAAATAGTGGTGTCACTCTTATTGCTCATGCGATGCATGTAACTAGCTCTAAAGACAATAACCCAATATATGCAAATATGTCATATTTTGGGGTAATTGAGCACATTTAGGAGTTAGATTATGTAAAGTTTCAGATTTCAGTCTTCGGTTGCAAGTGGGTTAACCATAAAAATGGCTTTTTAATTGATGATAACTCAGGGTTGATATAGGTAAATCTGAACAAAGAAGGGTATAAAGATGAGCCTTTCATCCTTGCTTCGCAGGCTCGACAAGTGTTCTATGTTCCTGATCCTGCTAAAACTAATTGGTCCATTGTTTTATTGACAAACAAATTCATTAAAGACATGGATGATACTGTTGTTGAGGATGATCCATTTTTAGGAACGTCGCTGGAAAGTAATTTTACTGAAGGTGATGCGTTCTATATGAGAAATGATCATACTGAAGGTATTTAGATATTAAAGAGACGAAAAAGAATTTGAGACTAGAGTAAGCAAGGAAAAGATCAAAAAAAAGACAAGAAAAAGGAAAAGACTAACTTAAACATGTGTGTTTTTATTTTATAAATAATTATTACTTGTGTTTATTTAATTATCGCATATGGTTTTCTATTTTCTAAATAACTGTTACATGTATGTTTGGTTAATTTTGTAAATAATTATTTCATGTGTCCATTGATTTTCTAATTATGTGTGTTCTTGCATTTTATAGGTAAATGGCTCCTAAGAAAGGTAAACGCAAAGGTCGTAATGACCTTGATGTTCTCAGGGGTGGCCCCAACATTGACCCCAACAGTGGTCCCAGCGTCAACCCCAGTGGTAGCCCCAGTGTCGACCCCAGTAGTGGCCCTGATGTTATAGCTAGTGGTGATGCTCCCAGTGCTGCTCCTAGTCTGACAATGAATGATGATCAGCTTCAGGAGGAGGCAACGAAGATTAGAAAAGGCTTAGTATTGATGACAGAAGTGAATAAACGGAGGATAACTGGACAAAAATATCCCCTCTAATGGAATGCTAAAGGGCAACCGATTAAGGACAATAAAGATAAATTCATCAGCTATATTGAAACTGTAGTAAGAGCAAATGTGCCTATCACACTCAAAAATTGGAAGAAGGCAGATCAATCTACAAGGCAGTATATTTGGGAACAAGTAGAGGTATATTTGTTAACTTACCATTATGTGACTATTGTGCCTATAATAGTTTATCAATTTACTAATAACATGCTAATATTTTGCAGTCGGCATTTATAATTGATGCTAGTTGAAGGAAGTGTGTCCTCCAAATAGCTAGAAGAGCAATGCGTTCTTTTCGATATTTTGTGTGATCAAAATATATTAAAAGAGTGGGTGGAAACATTAGTTCCGAGATCCCCACTTTGATTAGACCTTTAGTAACCCAACAACAATAGGATGAATTTGTTGCATCTCGTTTTCAAATGAAATTTCAGGTGATTTTACTTTACCAATTGATTTTAATTTTTTAATAATATTGTGCTATATTATAAGTTTAATTGATTTTAATTTTTTTCACAACAATTGAGCCAACAAAATCAGGAGTTGGTTAAGAAAAATCCTTATCCTTTTAAGAAAGGGCGTGTGGGGTATTTAGGCATAGAGGAAAAGATGGTATTTATTAATTACTAATTTATTAATTTCAAAATTACTCCACATTTATTTATTATATTTGCTAATTGCAAATTCTTTTGCTATTGACATGCATAGATTGAGCGAGAAGACACAGGAGTTAGTAGCATATCCCACCATGTTCTTTTCATAGAAGGCCGAACCAACAAAGAGGGTAACATTACAGATGAACATGTTTAGGAGATAGCTAATAAATGTGTAAGTGTCAATATTATTAATTTGACATAGTAAATTCAATTTTTTCATTCAAACAAATAATTTAAGTTTTTCAATTTGTGTCACATAGGCTGTTATCTCAGATGAAGTCTCAAAGGGTGAGCGTCCAGAGGATGAAGATATCTTGGGTCAAGGATTGGGTAATCTTGACCACCCCGGATGCGTTAGGGGTGTTGGTTTTGGCGTCACTAAGAAGCAAGTATTTGAGACTGCAAAGCCATTAAAAGGTGTAACGCCTTCTTTAGCTGAGTTTAATGCACTAAAAGATGAGGTTGATAGGCTGCATCGGTTGGTTGATGTATTGCTCACATCCCAGGGAAAGACATCCACTCCTGTGGACATTAGTCTCAATAGTAAGAGAGATAGTTGCACCGTAGCTCAGCCTTCTCATCCAAACCTTCCTGAGGTAATATTACTATTTTTTTAGTTATATTCATTTTTGTATTAATAACTTATAAATGTTTCCATTACTTTAGGGTAAATTCGAATGTGAGTTTTTGGAAACAGTCCAGATCGCCGTGTAGTTGCAATTGGTATAATGTATAATGTCCCTGGGGGCACTATACATAATGTGCCAATTCCTTTAGGCCACGTACGAGTTTGTCTAAAAGTTTCTTTAGATGACAACTATCAGCTACCCATTCCCACGGAGGATGTGATGACTGTAGGAGATGCATTGGGCACCTTTATTGCATGGCCCACCACCCTTATAAGGCCAATATCTAACAAAGATAAGGTGTGTATATATATATATATATAATTTATAAAGTTGATCTCAAACAAAGATATCTATATAATAACTTTTGATCTCTAACTATCTCTGGTATATAGTCCAAGGAAAAAGACTTCCCTAGTAAACAATCAACTGGCCATGAGTCAAAGATTATCGCACCTCCCCTGCTTCAAAAAATGGAGCCTCAATTGTCACATAAATTCTTGACTTCACTAGGGGCATATACTGACATGTAAAGGAGTATTCATGATTTTATTGCTGTAAACGTCCTATTCGAGCATGGCATGTATGACAGAGATTATACCAATCACATAACACTCAAAGTCGTAGATGAAGTACTCCACCATGGCATGATTAGCATGACTGTCATGGATTTTTATTTGAGGTACTTCTTTTGCACAAGAGTGGTCATTATTTTTATAAATATATACTAATCTGTTTGATTTATTAATTTTAGGTTTCTCTATCATACACTTGTCATGCCCTGCAACCTTACTAAGATATTTGCCTTCATTTGTCCTTATGACATTGCTGCTTTCCGTGACATTTGGGACTTTGATCGTGAAGATCAAGCAAAGCGGCTGTGCGATTCATTCAAAGCCAGGACTACTAAAAAAAGGGGGAGGTTATTTTTGATACCTTACGTACAAGGGTTAGTTATTTGTTATATTTAATGTGTTTTCTCAATTATATTAACTATTTCAATTTGTTATATATTCTTTACAATTGTTAATTATTTTAGGGATCATTGGATGCTGATTGCCCTTGATCCAGCTGAAGAAAAATATGAGAAATTAGCCATCTATTACTTGTGTTCTGCTGGCGGACAATCAGATAATCGCAAAGATATGATAGAATTAATCAACAAGTAAGTGCATTAATTAAGTTCATACTTGTGTTTTTTGATATTTTAAACTTACCCAACTTCTGTGTTTTTAGGGCTGTGTTTTTGTACCGCACGGATGAATCTTTAACTGTCCCTAGGGTCAAACCATTTGACCAATTGTTCACATGGACAGTAATAAGGGTACGTGTTTAAACATTAATTATTCAAGTATTTATTGATGATTATTCAATAATTTAATATATTTTGTTTATTTTGTTTTTAAAGTGCCCGCGTCAAAGACCAGATTCAATGGATTGTGGATATTGCGTGATGAGATTCATTAGGGACATCATTACTCACGCTAAGACTTTAATCCCTACCAAGGTTCATATTTA